TTTTTTTTTTACTCTACAGCTCCAGGTTTTTTTCCCGGTCTTACGATTTATTTTTTTTATGTTAGTTGGTATATAAACACTAACAATACAATACATTTACATGTTTTATTTTACAAATAAAAAGAAATACATTTCACAGGTGACCCCCACTAAAAACTAAATGATGATAATTCGAAAAAAAAGTTTACACAAATCATCACAAATCTCGCTATTGATGGCAAATGGTATTATTATTTATTTATTGAATATTTTCTGCAGTCATTCTTTTGAATGCACTTTTGACATAAACTAAAGTAGATTACAACATGGAAAAACATTTACAGACTCGTCACTTATTCAATTATTAACTAATTGGGCAATTATTACAATTGAGATACTCGCAGTTGGGTCTCTAAAAGAAAAAATTCAAACTGATGACATTCTCAAATGTTTCTTCATAGACCAGTTTCAATTTATTCTCATACAAAATTAACTATCAAGTCATATTTGTTTTTTAAAGATATACTTGTTTATGTAAACAGTCCTTGTTGTAAAAAAAACTACAATCATCTCTTATTTACTATATATGTTTAATTTCTAATGGTCCTGATATTAATAATTTTGAATCACAAAATGCACAATATAAACAGCAGTATACTGATGAACTTAAAGCACTGCTGCACACAGGTTCATATTTAATACACACTGTATGTATGAGGATTGGAGCAAATATAACTTGTTGCTCAATATGTTTCATAAGCTGTAAAAAAAAAAAAAAAAAAAAAACTCTCCTTAGTGGCAACTGCAGTATTGATTCTGAATGTGAAACACTAATAAGGTGGATGAATTTCACTTCAGGTGACGGTGAACTATAATTCACTTTTTTTTTTTTTTCCCAGACATCACTTACTGTTTTATCAACACAAAGCCTCAGGGACAGAGTGTTGTTCTTAAGAACAGCTCTGTTATTCTCCACTATGACTGTGACTCACTCATATTAAACATCCTGGTTATTACATATATTCTGCTACTGTTTACTGTACTGTACAAAGTACCACACTTTGTTGGGTGTGGTTTCAATGATAGATGGAGGTGTTTTTCACAATAAAGCAGCCACAGACAGGCTGCTTTATTGTCACCAGCTCTTAATTTAGCTATAAACCTGGAAACCAAATTGTATACTTTGGTTTAACTTGTGTCTTTCTGACCTGCTTCCTGTTGTCGCTGAGATTTGCATTTGCATTCATTGGACATTACTTGGAATGAAAGGATGAATAAGGGAAGAAAGGAAGGAAGGAAGGAAGGAAAGAAACTGTGTGATTGAGTTCCCATGGCTACACAAACAGAGGACTGAATGTCCCTTCTTCAGTGAGGCCGTGAGCACGCTGACCTTTCACATTCTTGCATACCACTTTTACACACTTGACTGTTAACACTCACTTTTTTTAAACATATTTTCTGATGAGCATCCGGTCTCCCCAGTCTCATTTAAAGGTCGACCATAATTAGCATCAACTTTAGCTCATGTTTCAAAATTACTTTTCTCTTGTACACTGAAGCCACTGTGAGCTTATGTGGTCATCAGATGACAGAGTAATGACAGAGTTGCACAGAGCTGGTCCAGTTTTACTCTGAGTTGGGTCCAGCTGCTCTCCCACACACTCTCTGGTGATAAAAAAAAATAGTAGCAGAGGTTTCATCTTTGTTTAAAAATGTGGTTTTAAGTGTTAGGTGATTGAAGGTCTTGGTTCTGCACAAAGGTAAAAATAGAAAGATTGTAGGTTTCACTGATTAGAGAAACATTCACACATAGCCTTGTCACATCTATTTAGGTTTTGTTTGTGTGCCTGGTTTTTATGGAGTTATTTCCTCTTTGGATCAAAGTCATTGTTTAAGTTTTTTAATAATGTCTTGCTTCTTGGTCATCCTCTGTGAAGGCGGGAGCTGAGGCAAACCAACCAGCCATCTGGAAAGGGTGGGCTACATCCAGTTCTTCTAAGGGTCACATACAGAGGCAACAAACCATTTGCACTTGCTAATTATTTGTCAATTTAGAGTGACTGATGTAATTCTTAAGCCAAACTTGGTGTAACATTGTCTTACAACTAAGACTGTGGCATGCTTTCTTCCCCACCTGCAGGGGGTACTGTGAATTAATCTCAAAATAATTAATCGTTTGACATAAATCAACATTCCAAACCAGAACAGACCAGTAAAATTCTGTTCACTTATGAGTTAAAAATTTGTTCAAATTTGAGTCTGACTAATTTGACATAAACTATTGCTGTAAATGTTTTTGCTTTTTTTATGCTACAAATTTTATCACATGTAGAATACATTCTGAAAGCTTGTGGAGGCGGCTTGTTATAGTTTAATCCTGGTGTTTTTTTTAACTGAGCAAACACAGACATGTGGGAAGAGCTGTTCTTTCTAATCACTCACTCTTAAAATGTATTTTCTGCCAGAACCTCTGCATATTTTTTTTTTCACAATCCTAACATTTTTATTGTAAAGTGAAATAGACCACATAATATACGTTTTATACTTTGCTACAAATGAGACACAGTAAAATACGGAACTGTGTCTGTTCAGAACAGATCATTCTTCAGTGAATCTGAATCACAACGGGAAGCCTGAGGTACACAGGGTACATTTGGTGTCAGTAAAGCAGGACACCTTCCACGGCCTTCTCCAAATAACAAACAAATGAGTTGCAAAGTCCAGTGAGTGGTGATAGTCAAACACGAGCTTTTATGGTAAAATCCTGTTTTGTTGTAGCAACTACAGGCTTGCAAATTAGGTTTATACATAACACCAGCATCCTTATTCTGTCGACATGCAGTTAAAATGTACCAGCGTAACAAAGATGAGAGCAATGCCCAGTAAAGAGGTATTGATTTGTGTGTGTTGGTGTGCTGTCTTAGATATCACTTTCTAGGAGAGATTTCCCAGAATCTGGGGCTGTTTTCCCCACTTCCCATCAGGGCAACATATTTTTTTCAGTGTTCAATAACTGGGGAATACATTAGAGGTAATAAAACAATTTAGGCTGTAACTGTATTTAGAAAGAAAAAAACTGGATCCAAGACCACTGAAACACTGCTCTTTTTAGGTTGGGCAACAAACCATAAGTGTGTTAAACGCTACCTCTGCACAGCTGTGTTTATGTTTAACCGTGCTTCTGAATTTCACTGGAAGGTGATGATTTCTAAACCAGTAACTTAGCAGTAACTCATAAACCAAATATGGAAAAAAAAACAAAAAACACATATGCTTTACAAGGGCGCAAGTGTTCAGGTTTCCCTGTAAATCTATTGAAAATACCGAAATGTCAGGAAGGGTCTGTGTGTCTCTATGTTTTAATAGGGACCATAAATACACATGTTTATATCATGAACTGGGTGGATTTTACTTTCACATTCCTTCAAGCTATTCTTAAAAGCCATATGTAAAACTACTTTAGGGGCCAGGAATTAAACCACATCAGGGATGAAGTAAGAAGCTACATATTTACAGAGAACTGTAAACCGGATGTTTTTTCTGCATAACAATACAATTATTTAACTCTTCCTTTTTTTTAAATTATAGTCTAAATTCAATGACAAAATTTGGTTAAGACCTGGTTAAAATTTAGTTATTTGCATTCAATCATTTTTAAAATAGTTAATTTTTTTGTATTCTAGATTTTCAGTCCAACAAGACCATTAAACAGTTGGTGATTCAGAGTGAAACTTATTGGAGCCACATAGGAATGAAAACATCCTGAGAAAATGTGTGGGAGGTTCACTTTACTCCAACCATTGTGTATTTGTTGCCAGATCCTTAAGATTACAGCAACAGATCTCAGCACAGATCTGGAAAGCCTGTAGCTGCTGCTTTTACTAAGAGAATCATGACCAGAAAAAACTACATGTCCTCATCTACTATTATGGTGTTATTAGAATCTGAGAGTAGTTTTGTATCATTTTTGTGTGTAAGTAAAAGTGCATTGATAGTTAGCAGATGCATATCTGTGATATCCATTACTCACTCTACCAGCAGACAGTTGGCAGACTGTGTGTATTGTTTTTGTTTTTGGCCAGTGTTGCAACTGCAATGGGCTTGGCCTTAAATAAGAGCATTGTTTTTCTAAAGTATCAGAATGCCTAGTGCCTGTCTCAACATGTCTCAGGAGAAACCAAACAAACAGCTCCGCAGGATTTTAGAGACAGTTAAACACAAGAAAACAGATTCAGGTACACCAGTATAGTTCAAGCTGGTTCATCCAGGTCGAGGCCTGCATCGAGTCTTTGAAGCTTCTTTTGTTGTTTGTTGGATGTAATTGTACAACAAAGTTTTATAGTGGGCTACGTTATTGTTGCTGTTTGGCTGTATAGTCTTATACCTGTACCCTGTATCAACACAATGCCTTCTTTTCTCCTCCAGCATTATGTGGGCTGTCGTTGCTGTCCCTGTTTACGACATGTCACACAAAATTAAGTTTAGCATTTGGGTTTAGGTAATCGGATCAGATGAACCATAGTTTGTTTTTTCACTGTTTGATCTTGAAATGTTGACCAATATTAGACCAATGCCTATCCTGAGTGTTGGCTCAAGCCATTCCTAATGCACGCAGGCTAATTTTCGGTAATAAAAGTAGTTAAGGAGCAGGAGTAGTTTAAAGAAGGTGACTCACACATTACAGTAGTTATGAATCTCGGATCCCTTTTACTGTCATAGTGTATTTTTTTGTTGTTATTTGAGGGCAGGATTTAGTTCTTAAGTATGAATATACTGTATATATCTAGTGTATCCAACGCAGCTCATCAGAGATCAGGAACTACAAACTGCATTCATAGCATCTCCATGAATTGTGGTTTTTAAAGAGTAAGCAAGACTCACTGTGTACTCTTCGAGTTGTTTGATCATTCACAGCTGTTAATGGGGAGCAGAGCAACTTTCCCTTTTCATTTCATAAGGGTGGAGTGGTAGTCTTATAGGAGAGGCACAAATTCAATAGTACAAGGTTTAGTTGTTGTAGGGCAGCCAACCACGTCCTCTGAGCAAGTTGTGACAACACTCCAGCCAAAGGTTTCCAGGAAAGAGGTTTTAACACAGTTAGACTAAATAAACTCTAATCCTCTAGTTGGTGTGAAACGGGTTGTGCATTATGGGAATATTAAATTCTCAGGGGAAAAAGTGACAACTCCTGTACACGTGTTTTTCAGGTGCATCTTGGAGACTGTTTGCAGCAGAAGACAGCTCCCACGTTTATGTCTGTCTCTGGTGTTTATTTGTGAATAGATTTTAACACAGTGGTCATTCTGTGTGTTAGTTTTTATTCTTTTTGTAAAACCACATTGAAAATGATGGTAGAAAAAAAACCCAGTAAGTTCACTAAGTTTTTACCAGCTTCCCATGACGACATGATTTAAAAGAAGCAACTGTGTCACCTAGTCACACAGGCTTATGTTTCTTCGCAGTTGCTCTATTCCTTAGAGGAACATTATCTAATCTAGCTGTCCCTTTGCACAGTGCAGGCTGTTCTTATTATTGCATCTCAGATATGGGAACCAGCTGCCAAGTGCTATTGGTGCCAAGAGACTATTAGTAGCATAATCATATTGGAGCAGCTCTTTGTGTTAACAGTCAGAGGTTTATCTAAACTTCCTGTGAGCTGACCACACTGTCTGTAAGCTAGGAGTTTTTTTGCTATCCATTTTAATTAACTTTTTTACTCCTGTTTTCTACCACAGGGCGCTCTCTGCCTTTGTTTCTCTTGCGATGTCCTGCAAGGTGTTACTGTGAAGAAAGAGGACCACCTTCGCAGATTCTGCACGGCGCGGCCAGTTGACCACCATGCCTCATTTAAGCGTCAGTACTAACCCACAGTCTAAATACTGCCCTGTCTGGCTCATCTGTGTCATCCTAAGCCTTTCAGTTGTGCACACTCATGCCAGTGATGGTAAGAACAAAAGACAATCACAGGACATTCCTATTTCCTGCAATTTAGCATTTACATATGACAGCTTGTTTAAATTAATTCATACATACATTTTTTTTTTGCAGTTCTCAGAGTGCCCCAGCAGGTAACCCTGTCAACCAATTTTAAAGAACAGCAGCTATCGATATCCTGGCTCGGAGGAGCAGCTACAACTTTTGACATCATCATTTTGCGAACTGAGCTCAATATTACAGTCTTCTATGTAAGAACTTTTGCTTTTGTTTATATCTTTGTCTAACCAACTTTCCTTTTTACACCAATACCATTGCAGCCAGAAATTCACATTAGTATTATATGAGATTAAAGCTGGAACTATTTGAAACGTTTTGTTGTAGTCCTTCAATATGATTTGTGTTTATTACTTTTAGGGGACGGTGTCTGTGCCTTTGGACCAGGTGAGTGGTTTGCAGCGGTGGAACTGGACCTCAGCTGAACCTCTGGAGTGTACCTCACTGTCAGTCAAGGTCCGCTCCAGAGACGGACAGGAAACAAGTGAATGGAGCAACACCCAAAATCTCCAAGGTCAGAAAAACATGAAATCTACAGTACTTTATGTAGATCTGGTGGTTGTACGAAGCCTTTGTTGTATTCTTCTTGTATTCTGCTTATGAGTTCATTTTTACTATTACTTCCTGTTTTCTGATTTTAGTACTTAATCTTCAAATAACAGATGTTTTTGCTAACATTCCTCCTTTTTAGGGTCCGATCTTCCCAGCAATGAGCAATCCCAGATTTACCCAATGAACCGTGTTGTGCCTGTGGGGGCCAACACCACCTTCTGTTGCATTGTAAAAGAGGGGCAAGAATTTGGTTACATTAAATATGGTAATGCTGTTGTGAACACAACTCGACTGAGCAGACGGAGCTACGCAACCACAGTGGTCAATCAGGGACCGTCTCACCAATCAGGAGCCAATGTTGTTTGTTTTGACAGCCTGACGACTCTAATTGTTGGAGCTGTGGTGTTTGTTGGATGTAAGTTAAATAACTAGACAACTGCATTTCATCCACACTACCATATGTATATCGTTATATGTATATATGTACTATATAAATGTGCCTGTTTGTCTCTGTACTTTTGTGTATATGTACACATATATGTATAAATATATATGGTATAAAAATTAGTGTGTACAAAAAAACGAATATGTACATGTTACTTATAGACCTTCTACCTCCCATACTCAGATCCACCACTGCTCAGAGACTTTGTGTGTGAAACTCATGACTTGACGTCTGCTGTGTGCCGGTGGAACGTGCGAGACCCAAAACTCTACGGCAGGCGGAGAACGAAATACACACTGAACATGAGGTATGCACACAGTAAACTCAGTAAAATAAAAAGGCTAAACCTCATCTCGGCCCAAGAATACAAGTTGTAACCTAACCCGTAACCTGATGCATTATTCAAAGCCATACCACCTGGTTCAAGTTACAGAAACAATTATCTCTTATTAATGAGCTTAAGAGTAAAGCACACACAAGAAGAAAATGGCCCTAGACTTAGAACTTTATACTCAATAAAGAAGACAATAATACTTTAATTCTCAATGTTCCTGTTATCAGGAGAGTTGAGGGCAGTCAATGCAGGGGTTTAAGGTTAAAATCAGAATTAGGAATTTCTTTATTGCTCCCTTGAGGGAAATAGCTAAGTGAATGTTAAGTCTTAATGTTTAACTCTGCAAAGCGTGCATGCAGTAATTCCATGCACCTTAACCAGTAGTCTGTGGAGTTGTAGCTCAGCTACCACAGACATGCACCCAGTTCCTGGGCAATTATTCTGTAGAATTTGTGATAGTCTTAATTAAACAATGTATTCTTTATCCGACTCAAAAGTTAGATGTTATGATCATTTTTAGATTGGATAAGAATGTTAAGGGAAAAAAAAACATCTCCATTTCTGAGAAGTCCCTGTAAAACCCACTGTTTCTTTTTTTGCCTTTTGTTTTTCTTTGTCTCAAATGTTCCCCCCCCCCCCCCCCCCCCCCAAATCAATCAGTAGAGAGGATGGCAAGAAATATGACGCACTTAGACTAAGTGACCTCTTGCTGTCTGTTTGTATGTGTTTGTGTGTGAGAGAGTAATGTGTGTGTTGACTGGTAGTCAATACACTATCAGCCTGACCGTTTCCAGGAAATGTCTGAAGGTCAATGTGTTGGCTTCTGTCTGAGTAAATATGGGTATAAGTATCTGGTGTCTTACTTGTCTTTGTTGTCACATTATACATACATTTGGTGTTTGTGTTCCATTAATTTTGTTTTGTATCCAGGAATTGTTTGGATGAATATGAACACGTGCCACAGAAGAAATGTATCGTCCAACAGTGGGAGGGAAACTGGACACTGTTAGCTGTGAATCCTCTTGGCCAGTACCGCCTTACTGACTCTGCAGAACTCAGTCACAGAGGTAAAATTTAAAACTCCCTGTTGGTATCTGCAGCGTATGCAACAAAATTGACAGATGTGGACAATTTTGTCTGAATAGCTGTTTCTGCCTTTAATCCTCTGATGATGGTGTACTTTTTTTGTTACTTTTTTTTTTGTTCATCAGTTTATCCAGTGGCACCAACCAAACTGAGAGTCGACGCTCATGCCTGGAATGCCACTGTGCATTGGCAGTGGAAGTACAGCAGCTATTTCACCCTGGGTCTTGTCTGCCAGGTTGAACTGACCTGTCATGGTATTATAAAAAATGTAAGTCTTTTGTAATGTCTCCTGTGGTATTGACATCATTGAACCTTGCTATAATTAATGGTCTAATGTTTGCCTGCAGTTTACTGTCTCTGGAGTGGGCCTGCAGTCCGCACTTTTGTCCAAACTTCAACCTAATGAGGACTACGGTGTTCGAGTCCGCTGTGGTGCCCAACAGAATTTCTGGAAGTGGGGAAACTGGAGTCAACCACTTTACTTCAAAACCAAGACTTTTGGTACCTGTTCCTAAAAGTTGTATTTGTAATATTAAGTTAAATAAAAGATAGTTGTTAATCATATTACAAACATCACTTACTCTAGTTAGTTTAGTTAGTTGACATCTAAACCGTTTTAACTGGATATGTTTTGGGTTTTTTTCTTAGTTCCAGACCCTCCTGATTTGTGGATGTGGATAAATGAAGACAACACCGGACAAGTTGTTTGGAAGGTGGTTAGTGTTCGGTATAAAGCAGTGTTGGGGCTTTTTTTAAACTAGTTCTACAGTAAAAACCTGACTTCCTGTGGCTTTAAGACCTATCGTCTTTGATGTGTGTTTTTGCTTTTCCTTCCCTTTCATTTCGCAGCCCCTGAATCGACAGAGCCACGGTCAGATCATAGGTTATGAAGTGACCGTATGGAGCAGAGAAGAAAATGTACAGCACACACACACCTTTCCACCAGATGCAGCTGCTGCAGCAATTGATTTCACCCAGATTGTGACCTCAAGCAATGACACCAAGGTCACAGCCACAGTGATCGCCAAGAACAATGAAGGATCATCTCAACCTGCCAGCATGGTTTTTCGTTTGACAGGTGTGTGAAGGGGGACAGAATTTGAATTGGCTATACATTTGTAATATAACTTGAACTATATGTTGTAATGTGATGATTCCTGAAGAAAGTAGTACTATCCACTGCATATTTACAGTTAGCTTCTGGTCGATGTTCAGTGATGATTTTAGATAGATAGATGTACTTTATTGATCCCAGGCCAGGAAATTGCAGTGCAGTAGCAGCATACAGAGCATACATATAGAGACAATAGGAAAAGCATAGAGGTAATTAGAAAAAGCAAAAACCAAACCTATTGTGGCAAAGATGGGTATAAGGTATACAGATAAGCAGTAAACACTGTATTGGTAAGATGGATGGGTAAGTAGAGGCTTTGAGTATAAATATACAGATGCACAATATAGAATAAATACAGTATGTATATACAGTATTTGGGTGTTGGGTGTGGCAGGAAGGATTACCTGTTTGGAGCAGCCTGTGAGAGAAGGAACAGCCAGTGAGAGCCTGTTTTACATGGTCTCTGACACAACACTGTGTCACACATTCATCTTTCATCTTGTGCAATGTCTTTTTTTTCCAGAGACCCACACTGTTGCTGTGTCCAGAACAGTTTATGAAAACAGTGGTTTCCGTCTGTCCTGGCAGAGTGATGCCAACACCACCAGTGATTATGTGGTGGAGTGGCATGATTCTGCCTGCTCTCGAAACTGCCCTGTGGAGTGGATTAAAGTGCTCACTGGAATTACAAATGTCACAGTTGATTCACGTAAGCATTTCCTTGAGTACACCTTGAGTAATCAGCCATTGTGTGGTTTTGCAGTAACTATGGCTTCAATGTGCCCTTCCTTTGTCTCCTTACTCCCCCCCCCCCCTTTTCTGACCAATAAACAGACTAAAATAGAACTTGATTTCCAGTATCTTGTTAATAAGCACTATAAAACGAAAATTGTATTATTAAATAAAAACACAATCTCTCTTTTTGTGCCAACAGCTAACTTCCAGCCAGGTGTGAGGTACACATTTTCTCTGTACAGCTTCTCCTCAGAAGGTCGCCAACTGCTTCAGCGATGGCAAGGATTTGTGCAGGAGTTAGGTAAAGATAATGCCAATAATGCAGATTTGATTTTTCTCGTCTTGGGTTTTCATTGTCTCTTGTTCTCTTGCTCCTTTTTGTCAATCTGTTATTTCCAGTTCCCTCCAGTTCTGTGCTCTTGTCAGCCAGTCAACAGGACACAGATGTTGTTCTCACCTGGAGCAGTATCCCTCAGGTCAACCACAGAGGTTTTCTCCTGGGCTTCAATGTTTACAACAGCAGTGGGTCTGAGCTGAAACTCATCGGTAATGGTTCTAATCAAAGTTACTTCTTCATTTCCTATGGAAGCATCCTCATTTGAAAACAGTTATTCATAATTTTATTATTATTATTTTATTATTATATCATTGTTTCCTCTTAATGATTGTCTTAATTTGTTTCTATACAACCTGTCCTTTCAACAGCGAACCTGACAGACAAAGAAATCAGGAGTTACACAGTGAAGGGACTTTCTGAAGGCACTCATAAATTTACTGTCAAGGCCTACACCTCAGCAGGCGAAGATTCAGGCGCCACTGCCTCCATAACGCTGGAACCGTACAGTATGTAAACTTGCACTAGGTTTAGGTCTATGTTTATTACACTACTGTCTACATGATTTACAAATACCTACTCTGCCCTTACAGTTGATTGGCTGATCTTTGAACTGCTGACCTCTCTGGGAGTCACTGCCTTGTTCTTTATTATTGTCACATTTTTTTGCTACAAAAAGAGGAAATGGTGAGTCTGTTATTATTATTCTTTTTTTTAATGCTTGTAGAAGACTACTGCTATTGGGTGAGACCATTCTTCCTACTGTATTAAACTATAAAACAAGATATGAACATTCCTGTGAGCTTTTGCTAAAAGTACACACTGACAAATATATTTTTCTGTCAGGGTGAAAAGGGCATTCTACCCAGACATTCCTGAGCCAAAGCTTCCTGGAGATTGGTCCAGAACACAGGTGATGTTCTAGTCTGCTTCTCTGTTCTTGTCTTTATTTCCTATCATTTTATACCTTACTCGTGAATTTCACTCAAATTACACAGGGCCCGTTGGATGTGAAGCCGTCTTCCCACAGCATCATTCAGATTGTAGAAAAGTCAGATCAGGACTCCAGTAAAGAGATGCTTGTGGTTATCCCTGAGGAAGACGAGGACGAAGAAGAGCATGGTATGGGAGACGAGCCAGTGGACACAGATGAGCCGGCATCTTTACGTTACTACAACCAAGTAATAGATGAGAGACCCATCAGGCCACGTTACCCAGACTCCTCCACGTCCTCGGCGTCATCTCTGGATTCAGGACGCACTGATGTGACATACACCGGAATCCAGACCTCAGGTTCTTCTTTGGTCTTCCAGCTGCATCCAGCAGGATCTTCTGAGGACCAGCAACCTCCCATTGATGTCATTGACAGCTGCAGTGGAGGAGGGGGATACCGGCCTCAGTGTAACAACGCTCATGTGGCTTCACATGAGCTGTTTAATGAACCCCAAGCTTACGCTTCTGGGGGCTACAAACCCCAGAGCTCCTGGCATTTGGACTCTCCCACTGAGGCAGGGGAAGTTGGAGGTCTGGCACCTTCCCTTGGGTCTCCCACTTCTGTTGCATCCACTCAGTTCCTGCTCCCTGACGGGGAACGACACGAGGAGGAGAAACAGGCATCGTCGTCTGCGTCAACGTGGTTCACTAATCTGCTGTCCTCCTCGAAACCATGAAACCATTTCTGTGTCACTAGTAGAAGCCTGGCCAGGAGACAATGACATGAAACATTCAGATTCATTACTGTCATCAGTATCATGTATCTAACTAGCTAAGTCCAAATGGTCAATGTCAATCTCCCGTCTGACGATGTAGCCTTACACATCTGTTTGCACTTTGAAATCAGGTCAGTGATACAATTTCAGGTGTTTATTTCCCAAACATTAACTATGCCGTTTGAGATCAATTTCTTATCATAAAAGGATCTCTACATTTATATACATATAAACACTTCTAAATTGAAAGCAAATTTCAGTTACATCACTTCATCCCCTCCAACAACCTGAGGGCTGTTACAACAACCCCCCTTCATTGGGCATTGAGCATCAGCAAACACACCACTCAAAAATGTCCACCTTTTCTACATATTTATTTGTGATGTGACTTCTAGTACACTACCAATCGGAGTAAAAGAAAAGAAGGATGAGAAGGATTAATTTCTAATGAAGTCTGAATAGAATAGTTGAGTTCATCTCCAGCCAGTGCCCATGTCTCTGCTGGTCAACCTTCCATGGTAATCCTTCCTTCTTTCTGAGAGATGACAAGCTACTGAAGGAGAGGATGGGGTGAAACGTTGATCCAGTTCTGCACTAACGGAAATGTGATTTTATAGGAATACAGGACTGGTGCTTTTTGTTGCAGTCTGGAATTGTGTGGGTTGTGTGCCCAGTGGATATACACTGATATAAGCTAGAGCATGAGTATAAACATGTAATTTAATGAACATTATTATGTTACTTTTAAGTGTTACTGTTGTTTTGTCTTCCTAAAGAGCAGAGTTTTATTTTCTAATTTCTATTTTTTTAATGTTTTAAACCATTGATTACACAGTCTGGGTTTACACAGGCCAGTGTTTTTTTGTGTTGAACCCATCTTCATGTTGATTACTGGTGTTTGGACAAACCATGTGACCCAATTTGACGAGTTAAAGTAGTGATTAATTCATCACACTATATCATACTCTTATGTTATACAGTAAAATAATAAGTCCACATTGAAACAGTTAAAACAGTTTTATTCTGGGCATATTTTTTGGGCACGGTGTACAAACACTCACACACTTTTTTTTTTTTTAATTCCCCAAATATTTGATCACATTATTCTTACAGTCATCTCAGCATTAGTAGAGACGATGCAAACGTGTTTTTGAAAGAAAGACCAAGAACAGGTGTCATAAATGAAAACCAACAATTATTGGATTTGTTGACAATATGGACAAATGACTGGACACATTAGACACTGAAGCCTGAGTACAGTAGACTTAAATACTCATATGTGTGATTTAGGCGCAAGGGACACATTATTGGCTAGTCATTACTGGGGCTGTCAAATCATTCAAAAGCTTTAATCTGATTAATCAGAGGGTAGTTGCTAGTTGCTTAAGCACAATTAATGATCAACTAATTGTGATTAATTAATCATCACAGTCATGATTAATTGTGATCCTTAATTCATCACAAAAAAGTTTTTGTCCTTTTTTTCTGCATCTGGAACAGAAAGACCAAAAACAACAGGTTGTTTCACACTGTTTTAGATAGATAGCACTTTATTAATCCCTCTGGAGTTCCCCATTGGGGAATTTAGGCTCCAGCAGCAGTACAGCACCAAAACAACAATAAAAACCCACAAATAGGTCAAATACAATTAAATACAAACATGAGTAGCAGCATGTTAGTAGATTAGTAGGTTAGTAGAAGTAGATAGATAGTGTTAGTAGTATTAGTAGATAAGCAGGTAATTATTGTTGCCGTGTATGGTGTTGTGTTAATTAGTGATGTAATTATCAATGTGGAAAACATCAAGAGAATTATGTTGAACTAAATTAGTGTCATTAGTGTCTGCAATCAGATGGAGGTAAAAATTGGGTTTTCCCTGTTGACCTTCTGTAAGTGCGAACTCACACAGATCCAGGATCAGTCAGTGTTTGACTCGCCCAATTCTATGTTGCGCAGCCAAAACCGATCTGAGACCAGCCTCTTCCAAAGTGACACTTGACGGTAACACCGTTTACTTGTCACCATGACAATAGTGTCCCAAAGGGATTTCCTTAGACCGAATACCAACCCAGAGTTTATCATTACTGTACATCTTTTTTTTTTTTGACAGCCCTAGTCTTCAATACATTTCATGAAATTGTCATCAGTCATTGGTCAACGATAACCAAAATGTATTTTTGTCATACTCTGAATCAGGCCCAGTTATGTCCTTTTTATCTTTTCAGTGCCTCCAGCCAACAAGCTACAACTACTGTGAAATGACTGACAAGTTAGAGATTCACTCTAATGGGTGGCTTCACTGACAAATGCCCAGCAGGCAGATAGTTTTATGTGACTACTGAAACTACTGTATCCCCTCCTTCTCTTTGATTCATTGATTGAATAATGATGCAGATTTGTGGTTGGGAGAATTCCATTGTGTGTGATGAGATCAGTGATGATCAAATGGGGACAGTGGTGTGAGTGTAGATATAGTTAAACATGCTGCAAATGATTTCCCTTCAAAGCTGTTTTCAGAAACTGGCAGAGCTTTGGAGACCAGACTATAAACGCTATGTGTTACATTTGCTGTTGATGTTGATTTTGTTAAAAAAAAAGAAAGAAAGAAAGAAACGGGCAACTTTTTCCTTCTGGTCCCTGTTTTTATGTTACTTGTATATAATTGTTTTCTTCTTCTTTTTTTTATCCAAGTTAGTGCATAATATTAATGCCCAAAATTAGCATAGGTCCATAGACCCAGCTTTAAGACAGATGTTTGTGTAGATAACAAAAGTCCCAAAATGTAACACATTGTATTTTATGTACGACTTTGTCTTGTGCTAAACTTCTGTCAGTCTGAAAAATTATTTAATTTGGAAATGTGACGCATTACTTCCTTTTTAATTGCAGTGTTGCTTTGCTAGCAAGTCCACCAGACAGGCCACATGCTGTATGTGACAACTCCCGAAATTGTTTTTGGTCCTTTTTTTTTTGTTTGAGCCAATGTTTACTGTGTAAAACGCTACATATTTCGAGGATATTTTACAGAAGTTTCACTATGATGCCTTACATATCACTGTCTATGGCCCATGCATGTTGTAAAAACTAATATAACTAAACATTGAGCTTTTAAATGTTTTTGGCTCAAAGTTGGTATCGCTTTAAACACTAACACTAACTAATGTTGTACTTGATGATGTCCATTATCATGTACTTGGAAATCGGCTTCCATTGCTGAAAATGCTATAAGATTCATGCTATTTTGCCACATATTTTAGTATTGGTGGAATGTAAAAAAAAAAGAGTGAATTAGATGTTAACACTTATAAGATGATTTGCTTCCTGTTTATTGACAATAAAGTTAATTGTCTGGCCATGTGTTCTGTCAGTTTTATTTACTTATCAACAAGTTTGATAAGCAGCAATAATATTGGTAATGAATCAGCAATATATGAGGGTAGGTCATGGCACTTTAACAAATAGAAAGACATATTTGCTTATTAAAATAATGCCTCTATTAATACTAACTATTCCTCTACATACCCTCTGGGTAGAAATGTAATTATACATATTTTATTTTATATATGAATACATATATATATATATATAAGTAAAGGTTAAAAAAACTTAAAGCCTTGAAGACATGTCTTAGTTTTTAGAGGTGGACACTTTTTGAAATTATGTTATCTGTCCTAGAGTATTTTGAATAACCCTCATGTGAACAGATAATAATAACACTAATAATAATAGTGAAAGATATAGGCTTATATTAGGTTTCTGGATAATCGAAAATGAATGTCTTGTAGAACTGGCCTGTCTGTAGTCACCAACTGATACAAATACTAAGGAAACGTTCGGCTTAAGAGTACATTTTAGTAATACTCGGTATATTATAGATGTGCGCAAAAAAATAAACTAATCTTGCCAGAGGGCCAGTCCTGATATGAGTTGTCTTTTCCTCATTAGTGTAAAGTGTCTGCAATCAGGTGGAGGTAAAAATAGCGTTGTCCCAGTTGACCTTCTGTAAGTGCGAACTCACACAGATCCAGGATCAGTCAGTGTTTGACTCGCCCAATTCTATGTTGCGCAGCCAAAACCGATCTGAGACCAGCCTCTTCCAAAGTGACACTTGACGGTAACACCGTTTACTTGTCACCATGACAATAGTGTCCCAAAGCGATTTCCTTAGACCGAATACACGTTTGGAAAAAAAAAGTGTTGCTAAATCTGTTAACTTGTTAAACAGTCAGCGGAAAGCAGGAGCAGCGCGGGCGTCAACTGCCGTAAAACACCGTAAGATGGCACTCAGAAGGCAATAAAAGGTTTGTGCTGTATACAAATAAAAGGATGAAAGGCTGAAGCTGGGAGAGCAGCCGGCAGGAAGAAGCTCCTCTACGACCTAATGAAGCTCTACGTTTAAATCCATCATGTAATGGCAAACTCAGGAAACCGAAGAAAATCTATGGAGAAAAAAAGAATGTGACAGTTAATAAACACTGCTGATGTCAGCTAAAAACAAATCACATTAAATACATCAGCTACGGTAAAGCATCTGAAGAGACCCGGAGAAGATGTCAGATCTGTTGTGCAGGTGGCTGAACCAGGAGCTGCGGCTCTCCAAATTTGTAGGTAAGTGACATTAAAGTTCGGTAAGACATTTACGTAATCTCGGATTTTAATTAAACATCAATGATTTTTTAAATGTACTTCCTGTTCTTCTGTTTTACATGTTTCACACAATTATATGTTTTATATCCTTTTTTTTTAAACGTAAAACACCAAATAGACGCCTTTATAGTTTGGATTTTCGTCAGGCAATTTAGGGAGGTGCCAATTTACTACCTATTTAAAAAAGGAAGAAGAAAGATTTCGTAATATTTATTATAGTTAAGAAAAGGGTAAACGTAAATCCTTTACCTTTTTCATCTACAAAATGTTTATCAACAAATAGGAAAATAAGTAAAGAAAACCTAAACGTGAATACAAACGAAATACACAGAACAACTATAACATGACCCAAAAGTTATCAAAAAAATTAAAATGTTAGTAGTCATTCAAAATGTAGCAAAACCTGTGAAACCAGAACTTGGTAAAAACAAGAATGAAAATATATTGTTTATCTAAAAAGATGCATCTTCACCTATAAAGTTAAAGCTAAAAACTAGATTTTCAAAAGCATTGATCAATTAGTAACTTCACGTTTGTCAAAAGATAGTTTCAAAATTCAGTAACCTTGTCCAGTAGATTACCCAGAATGCATCAGTAATTAATTTTAAATTGGACAAAAAAAAAACCTTGAGACTATTGATACTACATTATACATACTCTATCAAAAATGCATCTCTAAAATGTATTAGCGCTATGCAGCATTTGAAGTTGTAAACAAGATATTTTACATCATAATTGTTGTCACTTTGTAAGTAATTGCATTTTTGTCCACAGAGCCACAAACCTTGGCCAGGGACTTTTCCACCGGTTACTTAATTGGAGAAGTTCTGTTTAAATATCAGTTACAGACTGATTTCAGAATGTTTACGAAAAAGGAGTAAGTGGTGGTTGTTTAAACTTTTTTTTTAGCTGACGTTTTCTAATTTTCCCTATGAAATAAACCACATCCTAATTTACTACTTGGTGTATTTGTATTCATTCCCACAGCACATCAATCTCTAAAGTGAACAATTTTACTCGTCTTGAGCCGACATTGCAATTACTGGGAATCACCTTTGACATAAACACAGCCCAGGAACTGATGCAGGAGAAACACGGCGTTGCCACACGACTGCTGTACCATCTCTACACTGCACTTGGAAAGAAAAAGAGAGCTGAAATGACAGAGACAATGGTGGAGATCATGCAGCCAGCAGCCATAGCAAACCTGCACAAGAGAGAGCATGACAACTACACTGATGTGAGTAAGGCTTTCTTTTCAACAGCAACAATTTAATTCTGCAGATGAATATGAATTTGAACAGTCTGATGATACTGAAAATCCAAATTCCATCCAGTATTGCAATTTTTATCAGATTAGTGTTTTGTTTGTTTTCCCTGTCTCGTTGCTCATGTAGCGTCTGCATCAAATAGTGAAGCGAGATGCAGAGCTAAAGCTGATGAAGATCGCTCAGCATTATGAGGAGAAATGTCAGCAGTTGATCCACAGGTCCGTCACGATCCATTCCTTCCAGTTAAAGAGTACACTCAAAATCCCAGAGGAAAGAAAGAAACATTTTGAGAAGGTACATTACCGTAAATACGGCTACATTATAGTACAGTATATTATTTTGTACTAACCAAGCAGATAATTACTCACAGTTTCTTCTATAAGTGGTAATACAACAAAATTCAGGAATGCAGCCCATTTTGTTCTCATGATTTGATCATTAAAACATGTTTAACTGCACAGTAAAACTTTATGCTTTGCAGCTGCGTACGGCCCCTCAGAAAACCACCAACATCGGGCCTATTGACCAGATTGCGATCATACCCAAGCCTCCTCCCTACACCAAGCAACTGAACCTGAAGAAGAGAAGATATGAACAGCAGCAGCTACGCAGAGAACAATTAGCTAAGGTGTGATGAAACCTATTACGATGGCAAATGTATGAAGCCACAGAAAGCGAATACAATGATTATAATGTTAGATAAATGAAGAAATTACATTTCTTGAATAGATGTATGAAACCAAGGTTTGAGAAATTGTGTTTGGTCATTTGTTACAGTTTCCCAGTGTAAAGATATCCAATTAAGTAAAATTATAAATCTGGACATTGTTAGAATTATTTGTGTTTCTGTACCATGAAAAAATTACTTTGATTCCTTTCACACAGACGGTCCAGAATGAAATTGCTGAGTTTGAATTAAGCCGAAAGAAAATGGTCAGTTCTGGAGTTCCTTCTTCTTTAGGGTAAGACCCAAAACTGTGTACACACAGTGTTGTATAATTTTAAACTGGGATTACTGACCATTAAATATCATGACTACTGTGATTTATGACACTTTTTATTTGTAGTGGTCAGCCTGTCGCTGAATACTATGTACCAAGTTGGAGCAGTTACTTAGACATGCAGGGAAGTAAAGCTCATCTGATACTACAGTCCAATCTCAAGTACATGCAGGAGATACGAAACAGGCTTGAGGAGAGTGCCATGGCCCGGGAGCAGAGGGAGAAAAGACGAGACAGATTTCTGTTGGAGCAGCTCCAGATCCACGAAGCTCAGGAGGTAAAACATCTGTCAATGTGAAATGCTCATACATCACGTTAGAAAACCCCACTTTTGAAGTGAAAACACTTTTACTGCTAATGTTTTTTAATGCAAAAAGTAAACTCGTCTTGCCTCATTGCAGGAGGCAAGACGAGATGAGCATCTTGTGAAGCGTCTGACACGACAGACCCAACAGGAGCAGCGTGTGGCATCACAGCTCCTGCAGATGCGTATGCAGAAGGCGGTGATCAGTCAGAACCGCCTCTTCAGAGAACAACAGTACCAGCAGAGGAAGGAGAGAGACATAAAGGAGGCTCTGGAGAGGGAGGCGGTGAGATATGATACAAGTGAAAATTACAATATCTCATTTTGTTTTCATCGGTCAGATCAGGAGATGGTGAATTACTGGGACTGTCATTTTTTCACACTTGACACACAAATTAAAAAAGAAAAACTACTGTAGCAACTATTTTTGATGAACCATACTCTCCAGACCATATGTATAAAAACTAAAATCTAAAAACCTATTGTTTCCATTTGACGCCAAGTGTCAGGGATCCATGATTCTAAATACAAAGTGCCATTCACTCACTTTAACACTGTCTTTCATCTTGACATTGTTTTCCCCTGATTGGTGTCTGGCATTTACCAGTCGGAGCATTTTTGTCATAGCTGCTTCCCTGATTTCATGTTTCTAAATGGGTCTGGGTGTAGGCTCTGGCTGAACAGGCAAAGTTGGATCGTGCCAAGGAGATCCAAAAGGAGCTGGAATTTTTTAAAAAGATTGCTGCCGAGCGAACTCGCCGCAAATATGAGAAGCATTTTAAACTCTGCAAGGACATAGTGGAACAGATACTGGATTTGTCAACCAAGATCGGAGAATATCGTCTGATTACAGCGAAGTACGTAACTCTTGTTATGAGGCTAAGTTTGTTTTTGACTCTTTGGTTTGTGTGTATGTATATATGTATGTATATACAGTATATTTATATGTATACATATGCATATGTGTGTATATATATACGTATTATGTATTATAATATGTGAGTTTACAATTTGCAGGAAATCTTACTTGTCTATGTTTTGCCTTCTTATCATTTTTCCTATGTTATCCAGTCTGATTCCAGAGAAGATGATGAGGGAGTGGAAGGAGCTCGTGCTGAATGGTCTGCCTCTCTATGAGCAGCCTAAGGGCCTTTCACCTTCGTATGAATTGTATACCCCATTAGATACAATAGAGTGTCGGAGGTTGGAGGTCCTCAACAACCAAAACTTCGATGAGTACATGGTGGGTCGGGAAAACGCGTGTTAAATTCTACTTCAAACTTAATGAAGCAAATGATTAATTTGACTCAAAGTGTCAATGGAGCCACTCTGTCTTAGAATCATGCTGTCTTCACCAGGAAATGGTAGGTGACTGGGTGTGGCCAGAGGAGGCGGGGGAGCTAAAACAACCCCCACCAAACAACAACATTCTCGGGCACATCATGCACCGACTGAAGAACATCATTCACCCCCCACTCCTTGAGTCCACCTCACCGTCACTTCCTCACTATACCATCAAAGCCTGTGTCCTCGGAAACCTCTGCTCCGGCAAGACGAGGTGCTTGGCCAAGATTGCTGAAGGCACGTACCGTAACTCTAACAAACGTATACTAAACATAAGCAATAACAGCTCCTTACTTATTCTTAACTGATATCTGAAAGTGTAGTTAGATGTGTTGCTTGGTTTTCTACTTGTTCTCTGCTGCAGAGTTTGGCGTCTGTGTTTTATCTCCTGACACACTGGTGGAGGAGGCGCTGAATGCCCACATTATTGGAGAGCAGGTCGGTCACATACACTTGAAGCAGTGATTCCCAACCACTGTGTCGTAGCAGACTAGTGTGCCGTGGAAAATTATCCAATTGGTCCCAAAACTATTTATTATTTATTTTTTGTTTATGTTTTTCTGTTCGTCCGTGTGTGACATGCAGAGCAATTAAATCTTCTGCTAGGTGGCAGCAGATATGGCTATTAAAACTAAAAAGATCTTGAAGAAGATCTTTTGTGTGTCTTTTTTCAATTCCTGCCAGTATATTATTGTTGTCTTTATCTAAACAGACTGAGATTTTAGTCAATGATGAGGTCATTTAAACTAGAAGATTATTATATTATCTTACATCACTTTTTGTGAGATTTTTGTTTGGTGTGCCGTGGGTTTTTTCCTGGTGATATACATGTGCCGTGGCCCAAAAAAGGTTGGGAAACACTGACTCAAAGAATGAAGAAGTGTTTTATCGAACATCAAAACTTTTATATCTTTTGTAGTTTTAGTATAAAGTGTCGATTGTTTAATTAATGGGTTGTCTTTGGTTTATGTCACTGGGAAAGAAGTTCACTTTTTTTGTGTGTTTGGTTCAGCTGTCTGCTCGTGCAGCATTGGGAGGAGCTGCAATGAAAGAGCTGATAAAAGGCCAAGGGATTCCAAATGATGTGATAGTGGACATAGTAGTGGAGGCCATCAGGTGAGAGACCGTTTTTAAGAGTGAGGCCTACATGAAAATTAGAACTCTCAACTGATTCAAGGGTAGGTGTAGGTAAATCATGATAAATTGTGGTTAATTGTGATTGTAATTAATCATGACTAGTCATGACAAACATCATTAGGAGTTTCTTCTCAACAATAATAATTGATCTACAGCCTCTCAGAATTTCCCACCTGTTAAAATGTGTTAAACACTTCTGATGAATTTCACAAATTAATGAACATAATCAATGTGGTAATTCTAACAGCACATTTATTTGAAAAAAATATATAAATAACAATCACTCTTGTTTACACTGTGCACCAACCAGACATGTTCCAGCTCATTCAGGTTGGATCTTGGATGGCTTTCCGATGGACATCAATCAGGCCTACCTGTTCGAGAAAGCCCTGGGCGGGTCAGTTGAGGTGGGGGGCAGTGTAGAAAGGAAGCGGTCTGAACTCGCTTTTGGTCCTAACCCACCTCATACTCTAGGCTGCGCTGAGCCTGTCTTGGACATGGTTGTGCTGCTGGACGTCCCTGATGGGGCCGTGATCAGACGTGCATTCAGTCACACAGGTGGTTTAAAGCTTATTGTCTGGTCTCTGCATATTAAAATGTATGCTTGAATTTCATGTTTGTTTTTGATTGTTTTTCTTTTCCTAATCGCTGACACAGACTCTGATCCTGCAACTGAGACAGCTTTGTCTCCGACAGAAAAAAATTTATATCTGGCACAGGTTCCACAAAGGTAAACTGAAGAACAAACATGTCTGCTTTGCTCAGTATTAGTATTTGTCAACACTGCTGCCTGACTACAGTACATGTTTACTCTTGAACTCCCCATCATCAGGATTACCGCTTTTAGGGACACCTGGCCCCGTCTTGGGGAATGGTATGGTGAGAAGCAGAATATTCTGGTGACCATCGAAGCCAATGTTGATGAGGACGAGCTCTACGACAGATTAGCTGGTGTCCTGCAGCCGGTTTTGACACACAAGCCAGATGGTAGCTGGTTTTTATTTACCACCTTGAGCGTAGTTGTGTTTCTTCAACATGTTAGACAAACATGTGACTATTTTTACCTGAAATGTATTTTAATTAAATCATATTTCCTCCTGATTAGTCACTCAGTGTGCAGAGGAAGTTTCATGTGCCACAGAATCTGTTCCACACGGTAAGAAGAAAAAAGGACAAAGAATCAACCAGCTCAGTAAGTCCAGGTGTTTCTTTTTATATTATGACTTAATCTGGTCTGGTTAAAATCATTAACCATTAACTATTTCTCTTCAATAATCAACAGAGCCAAGGAGGTCTTCCATCGGCTCATTGATGAGTGAAAATGGACATCGAGGCCAAAATGAATATGCGGTATCGCCCAGAGTTTTTGTGGATGAATCTCTTCCTCCAGTAAGGCAAAACCTTCTCTCTGTGTTTGCAAAGTCAAGACAACTGTCAATTTAAGGAAATGAACATTATATCTTTTTTTTTTCTCTTCTTTTTAAGTTGATAATCTATTCCAGGGGCCACCTATATTTGACCCAAATTTTTTCTGGACCGACACCCCCACTTAGATAAAATGAAATCAAAATCAAATTTTTGTCTAACATTAGTATTTAATGTTTATTTTGTAATCCAGTGGTGGGACGGTTTGGACTGTTTGGTGGGCAATATTTGTCCTGCGGGCCACCTGTTGATGAACAACTGATGAAACATTTCTCTTCTGCCCCTTTTTTTCTTTATTTGATTTGCAGGAAATCCCAGAGTATCTGTGCTCCAATTGGGAAACTGTGTGTGAATCCTATGTTAACAACATAAGACGAGTGTTGCAGCTGCTGCGCTCGCAAAGCAATTTCATCAACCATCACCTCTACAACACCAGGTGATAACTGACATCCACTGTCTGTGACCGCATATCTGGTTTCACCAGACTTTTTGTTAAATAAGTGTGTGTGTGTGTGTAAAACATGGAGAAAAAACATCCATTATGATAAAAAAATATAATGGAGAAATTATTGTCTGTATCTACAGGGAGGACTTCAAGCACTTCCTGGGCCGTCCAGATGTGAAGCAGGAGTTTGTGTCTCAGTGGCAAAAGGACTTTAATAGTGTACCTGATGATATGAGAGACGACGAGGAAACCAAAGCAGAACTTCATCTGAGACTTGACGCAAGTTTAATCTACTTTAAATATATCACAGCATGAATATTTTCAAACTAAGTGATTTTTTCTTTCTTTCTGTAAATGCAGAAGAATAACACACACCAGGCTGGGAATCAAACCCACAGCCCACGCATTCCAAATACAATCAATTTAATTTAATTTCTCTGCCTCACTCTGTTCACTCTTTGGGTTCCAGGGAAATGAATATATGACAAAAAACAAATACGTGATGTGTTGTTGCAGGAGCTGCGAGAGCGTCTGTTGGACATCAGTGAAAAGCGTAAGGAACAAAATGAGAAGGAAAGGTCGTCCATCATACACGAGGGCTGGCTGGATGATCATGTCGCTGTACTCGTCAATCACCACTCTTCACTCATTCAGGTAAATTCTCAACCCCTACGATAAGTTGAGAAGTCCTTCATTTGTCCCACAGTGGGGAAACCCACAGTACACTATATAAAATGTTCACAGTATTTACAAAAAATGAATTTGTTGTTTATTTATTATTTATTTATTGTTCAAACAGATAGAAAATCACAAAGCTCAAAATATAAGATTTCTGCAAATGCAGACTATACTGGGTGTTTTTTTATAATAATGTATTTAATCTGTGAAATGTTACATATTCTGAAGAGATTTTTTTGTGTGTTTTATAGGCGGAAATAAACAAACTTCAGGAGTCAATCTGTATCTTTAGGGTCTATTATTCGAGCATGGCGGGGGAAGTCATATTTGAACCGTTCTCTAACTTTATTTATGTCCCCCTGCTGGGGAGCACTGAAATTAACGTTCACTTTGACTACAGGTAATGTGTTTTACACATTATTAATGTAAAACGGATAAAATGCGCCTTGATAATTTATGTGTTTTTCGGCAGCATTGACACAGAGGACACAGAGAAGAAGGCTCGGCCGACGGAAGGAGATGAAGGGAAGAAAGTTAAATTGTAAGGGAGAAGGAGAGAGATCGTTTCATTTTCTCACAGTAAATTAACTGAGCAGACCTGAGCACAAACCTCTTTATGAACAATGTCCTCCTCTTTTCAGTTCTCTTCAATGCCTCCCCAAATTTATTGAACACCCAATGCCCAAGAGCCAGAGTCAGTTAGATACAGATCCAGTCAAGGTCAGCCACCTTTCTTCCACTTTGATTTGTTATCATATTATTATTATTATTATTTCTATATTTTATATAAGTAGGAGTCTTTTGCTAATGGCAGTAAAATTAAACATCTACTGCTAATTCAACTCAACACCAACACAAATTCCGGCTATAAAACAAATCTGCAGCATAGATTTTCTTATTCTTTGCTTTTTTCAGCATTCCCAGGAGAAGCTCAATTTCGAGTATGAGGAGGCCGTGAAAGCCATCGGCCGATTGGTAAGAACATGTGACTTTGTGCCAGGATTCTCATGTCTATACGCAGCTGTTTGGGGAATGCCAAAGTGTCTGGATCATATGTGTTGGTCATAGGTGTCGGCAGAAATCCACCAGGGGGAGTTAAAAGAGCCGGAGAAGCCTCCGGAAAAGGAGCCAGAGAAGCCTCCAGAAAAGGGCAAAACAAAAAAAGGAAAACAGTCAGCCAAAGAGCAGAAAGGTGTGTGAGGGTAAAACCAAATCATAGAGATGTTGTTTTTTTTCCCTCTGGGTCTGGGTCTCTTACACCCCATTAAATCTTTTTTGCTCCAGAGCCAGAACCACCGCCTCCACCTCCCACTGCAGTCTATGAAGGAAGAAAGATAGAGTTCACCTGTGATCTTGAGGTCAGAAAGATATTACATAAAGAATACATAGCTGCACTGGAACATGAAGGTAAAGAACTACTCTCTACACTCCTCTCTCTCTCGATCAGTATATATGTATATATATTTATGTAAATATGTATATATGTTTATATATATATATGTTTATATATGTATATATGTATGTATATAAATGTGTGTGTGAGAGAGAGATTACGCGTGTATAATTGTTTATATGCCTTCTGCTGGTCTTTATCTGTTATCTGTTTGTTTCTTTCTGTATTTCTGTGATGTATGTCAGGAGTGGCTAACCAGTCAAGGGCCTAGAGCCACAGTTTTTACCGTGTTACTGCAATGAGCCACATTGCAAAAACCCCTTTGGAAAATCCTGGTCAATGTTTGCATTGAGAGAACTGAAGTGCCGCTCAAGATTTGAAGCCCTGAAATGCACTAATGATGCCTGACATATAAGGCAGAATGTCTTGCCATTACGACCCTCGAAACTTCCTGTTCATTTTCCTACATTCACTTGGCTATGCATTTTTTCCCTGCCATTTTGAAAGTGAATTTGGTAGGCCTACATTACTCAGTGGGTTTTCCCTCCAAGTCATTTGCGTCAGCACCCATGCACAAGAGGTTTAGGTGTCATAAAAAACACAAACATGAAAAAGACAAAGAGCCGCATGTCGTTTCCGAGCCACGGGTTAGCCATGCCTGATATATGTTGTATGACTGCAGTTTCTGCAGTGCTGTGTGTTTTTTTATGTTTATTATTTATTTTTTGTGAATTATTTTCTTCAACCCTATTTGATTTCATTTTTCCAATATTGTCCAACTGCACTAAATGCATGTGGGTGTTTTCCAGAAAAAGCAACCAAAGTGAAAATTTCACTGGTGAAAGGTCATGGACTGGTGATGATGCAACAGCTGCAAGCCGGAGCAGAAATGGTGTTTCAGGCCATGCATAAGTGGTTAGAAGCAAACTACCATGCAGAAATAAAGAGGTTAAATGTCTTTTATTTCTCTGTTTATTTATGTTAAACTAATACTAATTGAGTTCATTCTCAATGGTTGAGCTTTTTCTGTGTCATTTAGCTTGATTCAATATTTAAATGTAGTGTTTGTGAGATTCCTTATGAGATGTCCAAAACTGTTCATTGAGTTTGTATGTAATAATAGTGATGGTGTAGTATACATACAAAGTACTGACTACTGAATTGATTTGCTGTTGTTTTATTAGTTCCACTTGGTTCAAGTTGTCTTAAACGTTGAATGTGGGTTTCTGTAGTGTAGTGGTTATCACGTTTCTACACGCGAAAGGTCCCCGGTTGAAAACCTGGTGGAAAGAATTTTAAAATGTTTCCTCAATTTCCCCACTTTGGGATCCATGAACTTTTAGTCTAATCTAATACAATTTATACTTGAAGTTAAAGTGTAGTTTTACCCTGACATGTTTTAACTATTGAGCTCCTGACACTGTGACAGTGTGACGTCTCCTGCTGCCTGGCTGCTCCTCAATGGCTGCACTCCAAGTGTGGGACAGTAAAAATCTTGGTCTATTGCCCATGTTATACATTTTCTTACGTTTTCTGCTTCCCACATCCACCATTGAAGTTTATGATTTTTCTGTTGTGATCATTTTAACTTTGTCTCAGTCCATGATGTGAAGACTGGAGCTCATTGTCCGAGAAAAAAAACAAAAAAACAGTGTCTCGTTTTAGCCTCTAGCCTTCACTGATCAATGACAATCTCCTTCCATCTCCCTTTTTTCTCAGTATTGACCAGTTAACAGAAGTTGTCCGTCATCACATTGAGACTGGTGCTAAACTGCAGAATGAGCTGATCCTGGTGCGTATGAACTTTGTTATTCAATTCAAGTTATTTTTAATCCACGGTGACCCAAAGTGTAGTTCTTATAGTCTTCTATAATCCGACTGTTTCTCTTCTCCAGGAATGCAGTGACTTCTACATGAACGGAGACTGCCACATGGTGCCCACTCCAGCCCCTCCTACACAACCACCTCCCCTGGAGAAGCCCACGCCATACACCCCGACCATCAGGCAGCTGGAAACACTTTACCAGCATCTCAGTTGCATTGCTCCATCAGGTGGGAACAAAACAGGACGTAGGAGCTGTTGTGTACTTTTCCATCTCTTATGAGCTAGCTTCTTTAGCCGTTAGCTTCCTCATCTGTCCACTCATTTGTTTTTCCTCTTTTCTAAATCTCAGGCCTCATGTCCAGTTCTGAGTTTTCTGATTTGCTCAGAGATATAACATCTGTGAACACCGGTAGAACCATGTTACCTGAGCGCTGGATCGACCTGAGTGATAAACAGGTACAGAGTGTGACCAGCTGGTGGGTCAGTGAACCCAGTGTTATAAAGCTATAAATAGTACCTCTATCTCAACTCTTGCTTCATTTCATTTTTGTTTCCTTGAAATTTAACAGCAACTATGCTTCCTTTGAGTTGTACTACTGCCACCTACTGGGTGGTATTGCTTTTTAATAAAGGTAAAAAACAATTTCATTGCTTTTTTTAAAATATTGTTTTCACTTCCAAGCTGATAGAAATCGTATCCCTGCTCATGGACCAGTATGAGCTCGTGGACTGGCGTCAGTTCCTGCTCAGCGCTGCCCTCCCGTGGCCGTTCCCCTCCCTTACGCAGCTGCTGGAGGTGCTGCAGCGTTTCAAGGCAGCAGATGTTGAAAACACAGGTTGTGTCAACAGTGAACAGTATCTACAGGTGAGACTATACACATGGAAACTGTGATTTAGGCTCACGTGAAGAAATCAAATATTACACCTACAAAACATCTGTGACTAAGGTTAGTTCTTTTACTCCATCAGACCGAGTTGTGGTTTTCCAGTAAGAATGACCAGCCTGTTTCTCAGGACCACAGTGGAGTGCCACCTTTTGACCGTCTTTCCAATCTTCACAAGGTAAACTACAGTAAAGGCAAATGTTTATTCATTTAATTTTTAAATGAAAGAAAACATAAACACTGTGGAAAAAAGAACAGCTGTCCAGCTTTAACCCTTAACTTTTTTTTTGCAGTTCTTTTTCCAGTTGTTTGCAGACCACTCCCTGTCTCCCCCTCAACTGGACTACGTGTCCATGCTGCAGTACTTTGCTGCTGACCCTAATCCCAAGCAATGCTTCGTTAGATTACTGAGTGTGATCCTGGGCCAGGCTCTGCTGCTCCCCTCAGAGGAGGAGCTCGTCAAGGTGAGGCACCTGATGTCACCTGTGTCGTCCGATCTGAAGTATTGTTTTGTACTGAATCCCACTGAAGTCTTGTTCCTGTGCCTTGTGTCTACAGTCCATGCCGGTGATAAAAGATTCAAGTGTCAGCCTCATAGAACCTGACGGAGAAACCAAAGGGAGTCCGAGTGCATCAACCACTCCTGTGGTGGAGTCTGGAGTCTCCATCTCTGCTCTTCTCACTGTCCTCTGTCATAAAGTCACCAGGTTAAAGGGTCACCGTGCTCTTCCTCCCGGCTGCCCCAGTGAAGAGGAACACATCCAGGTACATCCAGATGGACTCTGGAGTTACCATCAGTTTAAAACTTTAAAATCTCACAATTTTGTTATTTCACATATTTAGAGTATACTTTGTGTTCTCTCGGATCTGTTCTGACATCTCTGCTGCCTTTCAGAACCTGGCCCAGGTTTTCACTGAGCTGGGCTACGAACCTGAGGACTGCGTCCCGTTCTCTGTGCTGTCTCGGCATCTTTTCATCCAGGACCTGATGTTGAACCCAGCACACTACAAGCTAGTTGTATGACTATCCGTTCATCCAGCCACTGTCTGCATTTGTAAAAAAAAAAATGTAGGGAATGTTTAATCTCTTTTCCCACTTTTGTTTCTGTCTCTCTGTTTCTTTTCCAGAATCTTCACGGCGTATTACAGCCTCCCCAGGAAGAAGAATCGTTCATTAAGGAAGAATAATAAGGCAGCAGTCACGTGACTTTATGGATGCCCACTACTATTGGATAAAACACAAAAGAAAAGGATTTTAGGAGCTGCATGAATTTGAAACTGATTCCAGTCAACTGAGTTTGAAGTTTTTTTAATCCTTTATATGTGTTACATCAGTGGTTCTCAAACTGCGGTGCAAAATTCCTGGAGTGCTCTTTAGTGGTACGTGGGGAAAATTCATATTTTCACATTTCCATTTTCAGTTGAATAAATCTAAAACATACCAAGTACAATTAATACAACATTTAAACATAAACATCTTTCTAAACATTTCTAAACATCTCTCCTCTGTGGTGGAAGCTAACAGTGAAGGTCTATGCTGCTATATTCTAATGTTGGTCATCATGGTGGAGCTCAGAGAGATCAAGGTTTTTTCAGGTGGTACAGAGTAGAAAAAGTTAGAGAACCACTGCTTTATGTGTTATGTCATGTTTCCCTTCAGTGTACACTGATGTGATGATATGGCTCTGTAAAAATGACAACAAAACATCAGGTGATCATTGTCGCCCCTGGATGATTAAATCTAATTCAAATCCTCTGAATTTTAAAGAGCTTTTGTTTCATCAATCATTGGTTATTATCTGGAAAAATTAAACAAAAAAAAAGTTAATTTCACTCATTATATTTCTGTAATCGATACGTACGACCTGTCCTTATAAACACAGATGTTAAAACATGGGTTTTGTGTCTTACAGTTTGTGTTTGATTGTCCTAGCCAGCTGTAATTAATACACCTCTCATATTAAGGTTGTTCAGTGGACACGACCGGACCTCAGGTCACAGTTTGGACATGCCCGTTGAGGAGCAACCATAAATGAAATAAAAACAATAACATCAGGGACAGCGTGGTTGACCCAGGGTTATGTCTCACTTTGTCCTCTGGACACACTCCAGCAGTTTTTCTAACTGACTGGCTTTTCTAATGACCGCTGACAGAGAACAGCACTGGCTGCAGCTACAATGGAGTGCATTGTCCAGGATCAGCCACATGTCAAGCCTGACTTACCAGCACCTGCCCAACCGCTGACCCACAGCCCAGTGTTGGTCCGGTTTTAGCAGTCACTGGTCACTGATCACTGGTGTTTTGGTCATCTGGATATTTATATAAGACGTGGTCTGAACTTTTCCATGGATTTTCAACCATCTCATCTGATTAAAGAGGATTAAAGCTTCAACATAGTGTCAGTTAAAAATTTCCTGTCATTTGAATATTTAGCATCAATTAACTTTCTTTAATTAGACCAGGGTGATTAGAGTGCCCCCTCCCCTCTGTCCCTCTGTATTGTCCCTGTTTCCCTCCCTTTCAATGTCACTGCAAGTTCAGGGCTGTAGGAAGTTTCAGTGTCTCACCGACAGTGAGCTGTAGATGGTGATTCACAGACCTACAGCAGAAACAACAAGGACTTTTCTATTGGTCGTACACTTTTGAAGTACCCCATGGTGTGTACTGTGGTGGACTACAACTGATATTAGAAAGTTTTACTTCATCAGGCTTAAATGTAGAGAAGATTGAACAGAGGACCTGACATGGAACAGTAACAGAAAATTGATTCTTTTTAAGATTGTGACTTTAAAGATCTTTTTTTTTACAGCCCATCTTGATCATTGAGTGGAATCGGACTTTCTTGAGTTCTCTCAAAGTTCTGGTGAATATTTTTCAATTCGAGCTTATTTCAGGACATAGAGACTCATCATGACTACAGCTCACGGAGCAACAACCAGCATGGGAATTCTATTTTGGATGTTTTCTATTCTGGCTCTTCCAGTGACACAATCGACCAGGATCCTCACTCTCTGTCTGATTGGTGAGTTTCACCACATGGCTGTTACATTTACTTCATCTGTTTTAGACCAGTGGTTCTCCACCTTTTTCTACTCTGTACCACCTGAGAAAACCTTGATCTCTCTGAGTAGCACCATGATGACCAACATTAGAATTCCCCTGCTCGTTCCACGTTCAACTTGAAAGTGATCCCATGCTGTCTGTGCTTACGTGAGCAACAGACTTGCATTGCAGCAAAACAACAAGTAAATAAATAAAAAAGACCAGACATCCTTTTTTATTATCCCACAAGAAGCCACACTTTTTTTTCTAAATGTTGTAGTAATTGTGCATGATATGTTTCAAATTTATTCAATTGAAAATGTAAATGTGAAAATATGAATTTTCCATGCGTACCACAGTTTGAGAACCACTAGTTTAAATAAAATGATATACATATAACTATAACATATAATATATAACTATATATGTATATATTAATATATACATATATAGTTATAAGGGATGTCCAATAATATCGGCCGATAATAGCTTAATTATGTAATATTGGTAAGAATCGTTGTTGGGTTTTCTTCCGATAATGAAAACTTGATAATGCAATGTCTGGGTTTGGCCCAGATGATGTGACCTAAAAACAGTTTTGAAGTGAAAGTAAAATCTTTATTTGTATCATGCATAGTATTTGTCATTGTGACACAGTACACCACTGCACACAATGAAATTGTGTCCTTGTGTCTTTAACCCAAACGGCTGCATATATCAGTATCGTGGATATCGGAATCGGAAATTAAGTGTTTTGACAATATCGGCAAATCGGATAACAGGACATCCCTAATAGTTATAGTGTTAGTTATTAGTCTACTACTATAGTCAAGTACAGTAACATATACTTTTGTTTATGAAATTATCATTAATAATTATGGTTTTTCTATATACTTTATTTACTGCTATTGCAGCTAATACTATCATCAAACCACTACTGCTACTAATACAGTATTAATACTGCTGCTGCAATGACTTATAATCATGTATTACTTTAAAATATTCTTTGACAGTTTTAATAATAATTCTACTTCATTAATATTACTACTAATAAAATTATTGTTGTTAGTATTACTGCTTCTACTGTAGTAGTTCTTGTTTTTATTTGTCTTTTTAATTTCTCTCCTCCTCCTCTCCCTTCAGGAGGAAGTCACTATTTACTCTTTGATGAAATGTCTCATACCTTCCATCAGCAGGGCCATGAGGTCCGTATGCTCCTACAACAGGGGAACCCCACCATTACTGGTACCACACAAACACACACACACACACTCTCAGACACACACACACACATTTCAGAGTATGTAAGTTATTTGTTCAGTCTTAATATACTGCTCATGTACTGCATGTCCCAGGTTTCTCTTACGAAGGCCGTGCAGACAGTTACCAGTTGAGCACCTGGTCTTTAGGAGACAAGTACATTAAAGAATACAATGGCTGGTTTTTGGAGCAACAAACAGAGTTTTTACTGGGAAGGTACAGTACAGTGAAGTTTTGTTTCATAAAGAGTATTAAATTAATTTAATTAATGTTAAATTGATTCAATAATCACTGTATTGATGGTTCTGGGTCTGAACCTTTGTCTTCAGTTTTTTGTTGTTTTTTCTTTCCTCTCAGGGACAGCTTTAACAACTTCCTAAACTTCATGGGGCACTTGTCTTATCAGTGTGATAAACTGCTAGAAGACAAAGAGACCGTGAGTTTCCTGCAGAGACAACAGTTTGACATCATTGTCCTCGATGCCTTCAACCCCTGTTCCTTCATCCTGGCACGAAAACTCGGTACTGTACCTTTAAAACATCGTCTATTCCTTGGGTTTATTTCATCATTAAAATTGGTTCTTAGTGTTAATGTAACCACTGACTTGAATCTCACTGTTATTCCAGGTGTCCAATATATAGCTTTCTATCCTGGCAGTCTGAATGGTCCTCTGTCCATCACTCTGCCCAGTCCTGTCTCCTACATCCCTGTCTTCAGCTCCCAGCTGTCGGACCATATGAACCTCTGGGGTCGTGTTAAGAATCTCTTCTATGCTACTCTGGCTCCTGTAGGTAAGACGGTCATGACAGAGGACATTGTTGTGAAAAGATGGAGACCACGGAGTCACATCTGGAGGCTGGATGTTACCACTGGTCGCGTCCAGAATATGACTCCTCTAAACAACAGTAAAAATGCAGGGTTTTTTTTTTGGTTGAACAGGATAAAAACCAAAGTGTGAAAAAATAAACTGTTTTTTTAAAATTATTTTATAATACATTTGGGCACAAACATATGGTCCATAAGCCAGAATTAGACCACAAGAAATTTGTGCTGCAATAAATGATGGATGTGAGCCATAGATTGGGACACACTGTAGTGTCTAATTTCTATTAGTCTGTTACAAATGCAGAAATGTTAAATTCTAATGTTGATGTGGTAAAATAAGTACTGTGTGGTTTTTCTTCAACACTCTTGACTGGTATGAACTGAAACTAATGACGATCTTGTTTATATATCCAAGGGCAAGAACTTGTGTGGTCGAGATTCAGGGCGGTGGCTGAGCGCCACCTAGAGTTAGGCTCACCTCCTGGTGGACTTGAGGAGTTACACCAGGGAGCTGAACTCTGGGCCTTCAACACTGACTTCTCCCTGGAGTTCCCGCAGCCTCTGATGCCGTACACTGTGTTGGTCGGAGGGTTACTGAATAAAGCAGCACAATCTCTGGGACAGGTCTGGATGAATGCATACGTAAAGCACCGTAATGTTGGACAGGTTGTTTCTTCTTTTGTCTTATCTGGCCCAATTCTTCAGGATCTCGAGTTGTGGATCTCCAGTTTTGGAGAAGCGGGTTTCATTGTGGTGACTCTGGGATCTATGGTTTCCTCTGTCTCTGTGCACCCGCTGCTGGTGGAGCTGGTGGCAGGTTTTTCTAGAGTCCCTCAGGGTGTAGTCTGGAGGTAACAGGGTTCATACAAACATAAAAACACTCACTTAAACATGAAGTAAAAGTGTGTGCGCGATTATGGTCGACCTCCAGTGATTTGTGTGCAGATATGACTCTCAGCGATGGCCTCCTGACCTGGACAAACCTCTGAATGTCAAACTTGTAGACTGGCTGCCTCTGAACGACCTGCTGGGTAAGAGGTCTTGTTAAAAACTGAATCAGAATCACAATAACCTTATTGACCCCCAGGTGGAGCTGCTGTGTCACTGAAGACAAACTCCTGCTGGAAATTAGAAATGTGTTCCAAATATTCAGTGTCAACAGAAATCTGATCGGATTATTCACAGAGCAGCTGTGGATTAATGGATTTAATCATCATTAATTGTAATTGTAATTATTCTCGATTAATTGCAATTATTTGAACAAAGCAACATATGGCATTTGTCGTTTTGTATGTGTGACAAATCCAAATGATGGAGTTATTAATATGGAAAAATATGGAAAAAGTATAATATGGAAAAAGTATAATTCAGAATTATTTTAGTCATTACTGTGTTTCTTCACACTGCATTAGACAACGGTGTCAGCTGTAGACTTACTTACTGCCGTGCAGGCTGGTCTGACACAAGCTGGGCTTCTGAGCTGAAGTTGAAGCCTCTCCAAATGCATGCTGGGAGTGTGCTGATATTTTAAGTTCTGGCTGCTTTGTGAAAAACTTTCCCTCCTAGTGTGAACAAATATCAATGTCTGTCATTGTGTATATGCATGACAAATATTCACAAATATTAATAACATGGTGATCACAGTGGATATTCCTGGCTCCAGTCAAACCTGAGGACTCCACCATTTTGTTCATGTTTTCATCAGTCTTTGTTTGAAAACACAGGGCATAAGAAGGCGCGACTGTTCATCACACACGGTGGACAAAACAGCTTGCTGCAGGCGGTGTACCACGGAGTCCCTGTGCTGGGAATCCCTCTGTTTGGAGACCAGTTTGATAATGTGGTCAGGGCTGAAACTAAAGGATTTGGTCTGAGCATCAGTCTCACTGACATCACCAGGCAGCTGCTGCACGCAACTATTCGAAAACTCCTACAGGATGTGAGGTATGTGCTGTGTACTGTCTGAATATTTTCACATCACGTCAGTAAGAAACAGTGATTTCTCATGTTTTTTTTTTTTCAGGTTCAAATCTTCGGCTCTGTCCTGCAGCAGGATTCACAGATCTCATCCTGTCCCGCCGGCACTTCGACTTATTTACTGGTTGGAACACATTCAGCACAGTGGAGGTGGTGCTCATTTACGACCGGCTTCGCTGTGGCAACCATGGTACCAGAGATACCTGGTGGATGTGGGGCTGCTTCTACTACTGGGGCTTCTTGGACCTGTGGTTCTCTGCTGTCTTCTCTGTAGGAACATGCGTAAAATTGTTAAAGAAAAATTACAATAACATCACAAAACTAATACCTGAAAAAGAAATCAATGAACCTGTTGATGTTTAATCGTTTGTATGAAGGTGTTGATTTATTGTTGTTTTCAACCATTCCCTCTCTCCCACGGATTCAGTGTAAAACTGTAAACACCATGTTTCCTGTGCTGTTGCCTCTAGTGGCAGGTGCAGTATTAACTAGATGTTTGTTTTTGTTTTTTTTGCTGCAGTGAGGCAATGTCAAACACCTTGTTTTAGGGGTGATTAATTTTACAGATGCTGACGTTGTCCTTTAACGGTTGTTTGGGTTTATCGTACATTAAACACTGCAGGGTGTTATTTATGTATTTAGACTGAATTTATTGACTCCATCTTCTAAGGCAGCGTCGCGGTTCACTGCCCCTCTGTTATTAAAACGTCAGCACCGGCTGCAGGTTTAAACTCTGGCCTCTGCTCCCTCATCAGATGGTTCCTGCTGGCTCTGCTTTCCTTTTTCTAAACAAGACTAAAACATTTAATGTAATGTTCAAGCCACAATCGAGATATGTGTTAATCTGAGGACATAAATAAATACAGAAATAAATACATAAAAAATATATAATTTGATAACAATAAAAGAAAAATAATGTCTGATAATATTATAACTTTTTTTACAACAATGAGTTAAATCTTTGTTGCCGTTGTTCAATCTACAATGAGTCAGATAACAAACTGTAGCGTACGCAACCCTGGTCACGAGTGGGCGCCCTCTAGTTGTGAACAGACAAATCTTATTCCGTATTCTCAGCTGAGCACCGCACAGCCCTAAACTTCTGCGTACAAGTGTCTTTTGTACCGGTATAAAAACCAAAGTGTGAAAAAATAAACTGTTTTTTAAAATTATTTTATAATACATTTGGGCACAAACATATGGTCCATAAGCCAGAATTAGACCACAAGAAATTTGTGCTGCAATAAATGATGGATGTGAGCCATAGATTGGGACACACTGTAGTGTCTAATTTCTATTAGTCTGTTACAAATGCAGAAATGTTAAATTCTAATGTTGATGTGGTAAAATAAGTACTGTGTGGTTTTTCTTCAACACTCTTGACTGGTATGAACTGAAACTAATGACGATCTTGTTTATATATCCAAGGGCAAGAACTTGTGTGGTCGAGATTCAGGGCGGTGGCTGAGCGCCACCTAGAGTTAGGCTCACCTCCTGGTGGACTTGAGGAGTTACACCAGGGAGCTGAACTCTGGGCCTTCAACACTGACTTCTCCCTGGAGTTCCCGCAGCCTCTGATGCCGTACACTGTGTTGGTCGGAGGGTTACTGAATAAAGCAGCACAATCTCTGGGACAGGTCTGGATGAATGCATACGTAAAGCACCGTAATGTTGGACAGGTTGTTTCTTCTTTTGTCTTATCTGGCCCAATTCTTCAGGATCTCGAGTTGCAGATACATTTATTTTGAAATGGCGGAACTCAGTGTAAAATAAACTATTGGACTAGAATTAAAATAATTGAATATGAAATCAGCATATATTTTTCAGCACTAGCTGTGTGTGAAGTACTTTGATTTGAAATATCCATCCATCTTCATCCGCTTATCCGATACCGGGTCGCGGGGGCAGCAGTCTCCAGGACCACCAACCAAATCACACTGCACCGTACCAACCTCCCCTCCCCCCACCCCCACCCAACCTTCCTGCGGGTGGTGAGTCCACTGGATGATTTGAAACATAAATGATACATTTTTGCAGGTTATACGGCCTGCGTTTAATTTCAATTATGATACATTAAATGTCCTGTCCGTTTCCGGGAGCGCAGTTTGTTTTTCAGAACAAGTTGTTTTCATTAAGATGGTAAAATATGACTGGCTTGAATGCTGCAATCTGATTGGCCAGTGCGGACCGCGTGGGCCTGGTCAAACGTCTATGTTTATGTAGCCCATCGTCAGTGTATATGTAAGTCGCAGCAGCAGTAAGGACGCTGCTCTCTTTGCCGTGTCAAACCACCGATTTAAATATGGAGGAACAATAACAGAGAAAACACGGAAGAAAGCCCCCGCGGGTATGGCGGGGGCCTTTGTTGTTAAAGGCTGCCAGAAAATTGGAGGTCCACAGATCAGGAACCTGCTGGAGGCGAAGGACTTTTTCCTCTTCGACTGTGATGGAGTCATATGGCACGGAGAGAAGGCGGTTTCCGGCGCTCCTGCCGTGGTCAACTCGCTGATCCGCCGCGGTAAAAACGTTTTTTTTGTAACCAACAACTGCACCAGACCCCGGGAGAGTTATGTGCACAAGTTCTCCAGGTTGGGCTTCACTGACGTGATACTGGAGCAGATATTCAGCTCGTCCTATTGCTCGGCCCTCTACCTGAGGGACGTGGTGAAGGTCCGCGGTCAGGTGTTCGTCATAGGCTGCGACGGTCTGCGCAGAGAGCTGCAGGAGGCGGGCATCCCCTGCGTGGAGGAGGCGAATGATCCGGACGCCACCATCTACGACTGCCCCCTGGCTGCGGATGTTAAAGCGGTGCTGGTGGGACATGATGACAAAATGACTTTTCTTAAACTGGCCAAAGCCTCGTGTTACCTGCGGGACCCGGAGTGTGTGTTCCTGGCCACTGATAATGACCCCTGGCACCCACTGTCCGGGGGGAGGATCCTGCCAGGTACTGAGGGGCTGATGGGCGATCAGACAGACTTACTACACTAAGGACTTACTCATAGTCTTTAACTTTTTATTTTATAAAAAAAAAAATTCTATGCACTTATGAAAACACCTATAATCACATTACGTAATAACTGAACTGTCATGTGAGTTTTAAGGATAAAACATGATCTGTTTTAGGTCTAAACTGTAAAAATAAAAAAAGAGAGGGCCCTAAAATATCAAATAATAATAAAAATTTTTAATAAAGGCCTTTTTACTCTTATTGTGTTAATGTTACAGTAATTAGGCAAATAATAATATAGAGAATAGACTAAGAACATTTATTGTTGTCTTGAAAAACATGCATGAGAGGTGATTATATGAGGTGGGGGCCCACCGTTATGGTGTAGAACCCAGAATTATGTGCTACACATGTTGCCCCGACAGCACTAGAAATTATAAAATTGAATACAATTTGGTTGTATCACCATCAACCTAAAAAGGATGCTGTTCGAAATAGTATTAAAATACACATTAACTGTCTTGTGTTCGGTTTGATGTATCATGTTCTTCATAATCCTCTCTGACCCCTCTTCAGGTTCTGGATCCCTCACTGCAGCACTGGAAGTGGCCTCCGGCCGCAAGGCCACTGTGATCGGCAAACCCAGCCGCTTCATGTTCGAGTGCATCTCCAGTCAGTTCAGTGGTGTGGATCCTGCCCAGTGCCTGATGGTTGGGGACCGCTTGGAGGTCGACATGCTGTTCGGCTCCAACTGTGGGCTGGACACCATGCTCACTCTGACTGGTGTGTCCCAAATAGAGGAGGCCCAGGAGTACAGGGATAGCGAGCTGACCAGCAACCACAGCTTTGTGCCAGACTATGTGGTGGATACTATAGCTGACTTCTTACCTGCTTTTGAGGAACTGGAGGAACAGAGCAGCTAAACCCGTTTCTCTTCACTGCACAGCGCAGACTGCATCTACTGTGTCTTTAAGTGCAATGTTTTAGTCTGACATTTACAGAATAATAAAAAAAGAACATTCCAGTCTAGGTTAATCCAAAATCATAAATGCTCTTCGGAACCAGAATATTCTCCTCAAACTGACCCACAGGTCGACTGCATTCTTCAGTGCTTTCTCTAGTGTCGTACATACAGTACTTCTGACTTCACAATACATTGTTACATGTGGTTTATATCAATACACGAATAGACTGCACATCGTCGTTATGTTAGTTTATCCGTCCTGTTTGGTCATTGCATTTGGAACATATCAGAGGTATTTTTATAAAACCATGAATTGTTCTGTCGTGACGTTCATGTGTTTAGAACAGTGATTCCAACCCAGTGTCACAGCACATTAGTGTGCCGGGGGAGATTATGATGTATTGAGGAAAATATAATTTTCCACTAAACAGGCAGAGATTAAATACTCTGCCACTAGGTGGTAGCAAAATGCTATAGTGTAAAACTTTAAACAGAATCAGCTGTTGAGATCTTAGTGCATCTTTCTTCAATTCCTAGGAGTTAATTGCAGGATATACTTGCATTGTATTTACCAGCATGTGTTCGACTAACAGGCACAGGTTTCACGCTGAGTAAATTGTATGTGAATTATAACTTGAAAATCATATTTATTTATGTTTTGTGATTTTTTATTTTTGGTGGTGTGCCATGGAGTTTTTCTAATGTAAAATGTGTGCTGTGGCTGAAAAAAGGGAAACAGTAGTTTAGAAGCTGGATATTTAATTTTTTCTCAAAAAAACGTGTACTAATTAGCTGCTCCTCTTACCTCTTATACTGTATATTAGCCTGAATGGGACCTAGCTCTGTTTAATTAATGGTGACTGGGGAAATAACTGTGATTTCTTTACGGCCCTGGCTGAGGCCACAATGACAATCCACATGTCATTTTAAGTGTCATTTCACTTCAGACGTTACCTATGTATGAACTTACTGTGCCAATATTCACCAGTGTTATAAACAGCTTCGTTAGAAAAGCCTGTGTAGTACAACAGCTGGTTGTACTACACTATGAACTTTAAATGTTGTTAATGTTTACCATTTAGAGCATGCTGACACTGGGAACACTAATTAATGCTTGCGGGTGAATTGAGAATATCCTGTGAAACACTGTTTTATATAAAAGTCCACGTCTGCCTGTTTAGAATGTACGTGTCTACATTAAAGGAACACCACAGATTATATGCAATAGTTATTTAATAATCTTTTAAAGCCTGCAGTTTACATGAATGTAACACCATCTCTGACAGCTCCTCTCCTGTATCTACAGTTTGTCCTGCAGCCACATCATAGCTTCCTCTGCAATTAACTGAACCCGTAATGAGTAAATACAACACCAGTGGTTAAATGTGGGGATGGCGGAAATTGATTAAATATCAGAAAACCTGCGGTTTGAGTATTAACAGATGATGACATGAAAAGAACAATCCTGAAGGAAAGATCGTACAGAATGTCTTGCAAAACTATAAGCTTTGGTTTGCCTTTACTGTGTCGCCAACTTAGCACAATAATACAAACACAAGTGAGCCTCAAAAAAAAAAATAAAGGTATGTACATTTTAACAAGATTTGTGAAATACTTTATTCTACACCACGTCTCGTGTGGCAATACGTCCTCTTGTAGCAGAGAAGAACATTGAAGACACGTAGAAATTTCCGACAGAGCAGGACTTGGTGTACAGTCCTCCAATTGTCACTCTGGTCCACCACGCTGCAGTAACAACAGGACAAACAAATAATCAGAGAGGGACAGGATGAAAAAAATCTAAGGACAAAATTCAGTTAAATCTGTGATTTAAAAAGGTAACAGGTGTGTGTTTTCACTCAGTTTGACTTCTTACTTGAATGAACTCCATTTCGTCTGTTGTCAACGCTCTCCTCCTGTATCTTGTAGGAAGTAGCTGAATGGAGGCCAACGTGTCTTGTGTCCCAGGGATTGGGGCCAAAGGTACTTGAGGTCTTGATAACAAAGGCGGTGATGCAGCCAACGATGCAGCAGCGTTACGTTGTGGAAAAGTGGCTGCTATTATTTTCAGTGCTTCATCAGCTGCACATGTAGAGATAAATATGGTTTAAAAAAACCCTCAGAGATCTTGGATGATTACTAATAATAAACAATTTCAGTCTTAAAAATAAAGCTTCGCTCCTGAAAGTAGGTCACACGGGAAGTAACTCATTGACAGCATAATTCACACCAATAATTCCTATCAGATTTCAATATGTTCTTTAACGGTTAGTTTCTGCAAGTAGTTCCCTGACACTGAATAGTGATGTTTACACAAAAGCTTGTTTCAGTTACAATAGAGTCATTTTTTAAAAAGTTTACATGTTTTGAAATAACTTGGGAGTTCACTTAAAAAGGCCAAAAGCTTTGATCAAGTTTAAATAACTGATGGTTGAAGTGCAATCTCTCTGCAAAATATTTTATTTTTATATATATCTTTTATTTATTTTGATGCAAAGAAGGAAGCTAATATCAGTGTCTGCGTTATATTCTCACCCTTCTGTGACTGAAAAGTCCTATGACAGGAAGTACATTTCTCACATAGGATGTTTGTCAGCTTTCAGCCATATTTCTGCGGATTCACTAAAGGCCAATACTCACCATTTGGTTTTGGGATCACTTGTCTGTTTGGAAACCTGATCAGTGGAGCATGAGGCCGGACTGCCTGACAAAACAAAAATCAGACCGTTGTTTAAAAATAAATCTTACTTGAAAGATAAGCTTTTCAAAACCTCACGTTATCTAAGCATTATTATAAGATGTGGCTTGTCAGTACTTTTTGTCTATTCATATTTCCCTGTTCCTATTTAGAAACAAGTTACCACCTAACCCGAGGATGACATATTATTCTGCTATGACAACGTACTCCTCAAAACCGATAAATATGCCGCATTGTTGTCATAGTAATTCAGTTTATGTTACGTTTCCCCTGTCATAATAATAAACATGTCAAATCAACCACATACTTGTTGTTTTGACGAACAAGGACATTAACAAGGGTAACGGGCTCCGTTTCCTAACTAGGCCTCGGCACAATTCCTGTTTAAACGTTTACAACAATAAAGCGACAAACACATTAAGACTACTATCGTTTGAGAAAAGCACATAGGGGTGTTAAGAAAGTGACATTTGAACACTGAAGTTACCTGGATAACTCTTGCGGTAGGAGCTGCCATTTTGGAGCTGACTTTGCTTCCCATGATGACCTCACAGCTTTACTTCCGGTTTGAAGGGGCCGTGTCGTAGTGCAACAACCAACGCTAGATGGTGCTGTTGTCACAGAAAGCAGTGACGTTTCACATAGAACAGAAAGTAGTGTTTATGATGCGGTTAACGGTGATGACAGACGGGAATCCAAGCTGACGAATAAAAGGCAAAGGGTTGAATAATGTATCTTACCTCTAAAGTGACGTTTGGCTTTCTGCGATTAGAAGCGAGCAGACGATGGATACGTTACCCTGCTGTGGGTCATATCAGTGCATTCTGCAGTGTAGTCCCTTCCCAGTCAAAAGGAAGAACGAGAAAGTCACAAAGGCTTAAATTAAATTTAAAGACCCCGACTGCTGTTCTGTTTTGATAATGGAAGTAAAACAAATGCCAATCCATAAAGTGAACCTATTATAAATGCACTTATTTCTACTGAATACCAGTACCCTTTCCTAACTATGTCCTGCGATATGATGTAAATAAATAAAAAAAAAACAACCGGAAATTCTGGTCAGGTGGTAGGCACTCGCCCAATCACAAAGGGGAAAAATAGCAGGGATGTTTGTTTGTGGAAGAGGTGTCTCTAGTTAAAATGTCACCGTTTTTGTTTGTATATTTGTTATATATATATTGAAATATATATTACAATATATATATATATATTTCAATAAGCCCTTTGCTTGGATCCCATTTAGAAACCAAATACTTATCATTTTCAAATTGTAATAATCATTTATTTCTGTAAAAACGCAGTAATTTTGCATGTGTCGTTGTAATTCTTTATTTTCCTAAATGTCTACACTTAAAATCGTTTTTTCCAAATATTCGAATATATACAAATTTTCCATCTCATCTACGACTACCCCCTCACCCCTCCTTACCTGCCTTGGCCTCATTTATTTGATTAATTTGTCTTGTTTCCTCTGCACACCGCCTCTCGTTTCTCTTTCCACCTGCTCCATGCTTTCGCTACAGATCACAGTATAATCGTTATAATCGTTTTACTGTGATGTCTGAATATTTTAGTCCATTAGAAGTCCAGTGTGAAGTTATCCGTCATTATTGGCTATAATTGTTGAGCCTGAGTGAGTTGACAGAAAAGTGAAAGAGAAAGCAATGGTTCACACAATTATAGGATTCATCGTCACATTTGGTTTGCGGCAGAAGACTTATGATATATATATACGGCGTGAATTTGTTGTCGTAGCATTAATAAAAAAAGCTTTAATCTTTCAATGAATCGACCTGTGGCTAATCTTTTCTACAAGACGCTCTGTAAATGCAGCGAACTTGCGACCTTCTACTTGCTACTGCCATCTATCGGGTAAATGTATTAATTGCACAGCTGACCAAAGAGCGGAGTCATCATTAAGCTTAGAGAACGGCAAAAGAGCCACAGATAAATAGCTAGAGATATTTGACTTTGCAGTTGTTCGATAGTTTTGCTTGTGATTAGGCAAATTTTAGATCCACGGCCAATAATGTATTAAAAGGTAAAAGGTGTAACATCTCGTCTGTGTAGGTTCTCAGTCATACAGGTCATTTAATCCAAAAATAATTACATCAAGGGTCAACTGGACAAAGTCGTTTTGTTTTTTTGTTTTTTGTTTTTCCAGAGACGACGCCTCTTGGATGAAACGTCTTAAAAAAAAACTCAACCTACTTCGTCCAGTTGCCCTTGATGTAACTATTTTTGGGTGTAACATCTTTTTTTACCAAACATTCACAGAAAAAAACCTGCACATCATTTATTTTGAAGTAACCAAATGTACATTTTATTGGCTTTTAGTTTCTTACACAAACTAGTCTGCGCTATGGACGACTCATGACCTGAGAGACCTCTGTGGTTTCACATAATGTACAGTTCAACTATCAACAGGGGCACATGACAGGTGCCACTCTCAAGTCAGGAGTCAGCCTCTGGCACAGTGTGGGTTTGATGCAGTACTGTTTTATACAGTGCATGTCAGGTGTGACAGCGACAGAGATATTCATTGGCTCTTTGACCTATCAAACAGCTGTTTGAGTTGCTCTTTTGTTGTGGCCTCTTTCTGCTGCAGGAGAGCATTGTCGCCCTTAGTCACACCCCAGCTATCGGGCTTAGACAGAGAGGGACACAGGGGACGACCAGAGGCTGGCTTCAGGTTCTCCCAGTAGTTACGGCGGGCCCTGAAACAGAAAAAAAAAAAAAGATGTTAACATGTAACTCCAACAAGGATCCAGATGTTCACTTGTAACTTAGTTGGTATTAAAGTTGTTCATCAACTGGTTTACTGACCTGGCTCTGACCCAGGGCTTGGTGTGCATCTCCAGTCCAGCGCCCCAGCTGCCGTGTTTCTCTGATGCAGCTGGAAGCAATCCTCTCTCGACGGCCAACTCCTCTGCTACGGCCCTGATGTGGTAAGGCTCAAAACCACAGCAGCCGCCAATAAAGCGAATGCCAGCGTTGTAGGCCTCTCTGGCGTATTTGTGCATGTCCCAGCGGGTCAGGATTCTGGGCTCCAGACCTAAAAGTAGATTCAGTGTCATGCCAGGCTATACATGTGCTGCTACGATTAAACTGGGATCTTTTGTCTTTCGTGCCACGTATGCACTTGTGAAAACAACATCACTCAATACATGTTTACTTATATTTACAATGTATTTACCGAAGGGGAACTCAGGCAGATCAATGAATCCTTGGCAGTTGCAGTCGGGGGTGTGGTAAGCCAAGGGCTGAACCATGTAATGGGCCTTGAGCCCAGCTTTTTCCACTCCCTCCTTCATCATCTTCACAGCCTCCACACTGGTCAAGGGGTCAAAGTGGCAGTTGATTCCAACAATCTGGGCACCTTGACAGAGGATCATACAAGAAGAAACCACGTTGAGCTAAAGTAGCAGATGTAACACACAGAGTGTTGTTTGGAGTTTTAATCACTTCCCATCATTAATAACAAGAAGAAAGAAATTTGAAAGAATGTTGCAGAAGATAAAAAAAAATGTTTTGCAACATTCCATTTTGAAGACAGTGCAATAGGACAGTCAGTAGGGGCAGATGTTACATTTTAAATAGACAAGTAGGAAGTTACATGTTATAAAGGGCTGATTTACAAAATATTGGAAATAGAATTGTTGACACAGTATTGCAACAAAAATCTTACCTACGGTATCCTTTTATACATAATTTAAATTGTTTAAATTTGTTTAAATTAAATGTCAAATTAATGTCAAAAATGAAATTTGCACTCAGGTTTCAGACAGATAATTTACTCCCAAACTATGGCATGGTTACCGCAGGTGGCACTTGGGCTCCCTCTAGTGGTTTAAGGAGTCAGTTGTGAAAAAATAATTTTATTTTTTTTTGCCTGCTCCGTGTACACGTACAGTCTGTGTGTCTTTGTTTGATACTAGGATTATATAGTTCTAGTTTTAGTTTTAGTTCTAGCTTTGTGTGATGAATAGACTACAGAAGTCGTTAGGAATAAATTATTGGTATTATCTTGTGTTTCCCCAATATCCCTGTATATAGAGCCCCTCTATATAGTCCTGACATACTGTACTTGAAGTAAGTACATTTATACAGTGTCCATTGTACCTACCAGCTTTGACCAGCCTGACTGCACATTCTGCAGGTGAGACACCGTGCATGTCTCCCTCTGGTCCAATGCACAGAGAGGCAGCCACAGGTTTCCCTGTTTCCTTCAGCACCTCCACAGCCCACACGGCCTCTTCAACATGTTCAAAGTACTGCAGGAGAGAGGAGCCAATCTAACCAAATGAACCTGACACAGAATTCTGACACAGATAATTCACTCAAAGATAGAACATGGACCAGACAGTGTGGCCCATGGCCATCTACTGTACCTCAGCAATCAGGAAGTCCACGTCCTTCTTGATGAAGACATCCAGTTGTCTCTTGAAAATGGCCTTCACCTCTTTCTCACTCTTGCAGCTCAGGTAGGATGGAGTCTGAGACACTCCTCCAGCAACCAGGGCGTCGCCCTCATTGGCGACCTCACGGGCCAAATCACAGGCGGCCTCGTTGATCTGAGTTCCCTGTAGAGAAAGAGATGAAAAACAAATGGAAGAAGAAGTATTTATCATTCTACCTACAGTTAAACACAGAGGAGGAGTTAAACACAGAGGAGGATTCCTCTGTGTTTAACCAGTGGTTCTTAATTATTTTGTCATGCCCCCCCCTTGAAGACAGAAATGTTTTTATGCCCCTCCCTCTGACCCACACCCTCGCAAATTGAAATACAATTAAGAACCCGATAACATGTATATTTTTATCTGTACAAACCACTGTTGGTTTGTAGTTGTAGTAGTCTGCTGGTTTCTGAGTTGCTGCCACCTAGTGACTGGAGGCTTGTTATCATTCAAGCATTACAGCATTACAGCAGTCTCACCACGCATTACAGCATAGTGAGACGCCCCCTGTGGCATCTCACCACACAACTCCCGGGGGGGCCGTCCTACTATTTGAAAAGTACTGATTAAATCCAGTTCAAGGAGGCCAGGGTGTCTGTGTGTGTTGATGGGTGGGGCAGCAACCCCTGATCACAAGACTGATCCGAAAAGGCAATTTAAGAGACAGAACTTTGCAATATGGCTGCCTTATCAACTTTAACAAATATATTTTAAATTATTCTTGTGCACAAATTAGTTGACATTAATTCACCAGCTGATCAACGTACAGTGAATCTGGGCTTGTTGCCTCTGTTCTCCAGTTTGTCGTCACTTGCGTAGAAGGTGAAGGTCTGCATAACGTTAGACCCAGCCCTCAGGAACTCCCTGTGCAACTGTCTCACTGGGAATCAACAAACACAAACGTGTGGTGAGTAAGATTTAAAGAGAAGAGTCCGTGTGGTTTGGTGTAGTTAGGTGACGTTTACCTGCTTCAGGATATTCAGCAGCAGCTTCAGGGGTCCAGGGACCGGCCTTCACGTAGCCTCTCTTCTCCAGGGCAAACACAAAACCTCCATCGCCGATCACGATCTCACCGGCGTTCAGACGCTCCAAAATTCCCTGTGAGGATCAGTCAGTGTCGCTTAGAGTGAGTGCATATAGTCAGGCTGCAGGTGGACTTGTTTTGTCTGCCTGGTCTAATTCCTACACTGCTAATGAACATGGAGTGAAAACTGTTGAGGTGAGAAAACAAGACTAAATTATAATATTTAACCATCATTAGCAACAAATGTTGGAGTAAAGATATATAATATATTTATCTATCTATCTATATATATATAATAATATAAAAAATGTTTTCAATTTTTTTTCAATCAAATATTTACATTTCCTTACCCAGACATTATATCAGAAAATCATCTTCTGAAATGACCTTTTTACTTACACTGATTACCTGCACCCTTCACTGCCACTTTATTGTGCAATATGTATATTTTCTTGTTTATTATGTATATTTTTCTAAAGGTTTACTTTAATATTAGAGTGCTTTTTGCTTTTTAGTTCTTTTTACTCTATTTATTGTGTTAACTCCTCTTCTCTCTTTTTCTGCACTGCCACTGGCTACTGTACTAGTATGTTTCCCCCAAGGGGGATGAATAAAGCCCTACTCTACTCTACTCTACTCTAAATCATAAGGAATTACTTTTAAAAGGGGAAGATGGGGGAGATGGGAATTACAAAATGTATTTATCTCCACCATAACTTAACTAACCATAACTACTCATGTTCTGACATGTGCTCAGATCTACATCACAAAACAAACCACTGAAAAAAATACAAAAACATTGGTCATTGGTCAATTTAAAACCTCCTCATTACAAATACTGCATTATCCCTGAAACAACAATAATATGAAGTCTCGACAGGGAGACTAGAGAAATACTTCACGTACCTTCTTTGTTGGTGCCATAATTCCAGAGCTGAATGGACCCCTGACTGCTCAGACTTTGAGTAGCTGAAGTGACATTAACGTTGGGCGCACGGACACTATAAATCTGACTGAGGCAGGGGAGTGGTCTGGGGAGGAAGCGCTCTGATTGGAAAGGAACACATTACACAACCTTGAGTTGACTCCTTGCCCTCTCCTCTTCACCTAAAACAGAGGATACTAGTGATACTAGTTTGATCCAGATCATTTGCGTCTACTCCTCATGTCTTTCTGAACTGTTTTTATGTTGGTTTGAAGAACGACCCCTAACATAAATCTACCGTCATCAAGGGCAACCGCTGAGAAGAGAATGGATTACTTATTTGTGCACAAAACATGATTTCATTTGTGCGCTGTCTTTGTGTGTTGACATGAGGGAAACTGCAGGTCAGGTACAAAGGTGCAGAGATAAAGGCAGTTTTACACTGAAAATCTCCAGCAGTGACTGCTCTGAACTGGCTTTTTCACAGACCTCATACATGTGCGAACACATTGAACAAAGACATTAGATAACAGTCCACCGATGACAACCACCAACGACTGGCTGGAGCAATTACAGGTACGCACAGGACAGGTTCATGCAGATGAAAGATTTTTTTGAACCAACTATTCTCCTCTAAATGACTTAAATAACACATAATATTATAATAACACATAATATGCGAATCACTAAAAGAAGAAGAAGAACACAACAGACAAAAATACTAGATTTAAGTAAACAGTTCTGTTGCTCTTTTGAGTTTTGTAGTGAAACAAGATGTAAATAAAAAACTGTTTACACCAGGCATAAGCAAACTAAGGCCTGGAGGCCAGATGTGCCCATTCAGTTTTTTAACCTGGCTGGCCAAACTTTTCCAAATTATATAATTTATTTATATTATCATTATACTTCTGCCTTTTCTTTGCAATACCAATGTTTCCCCAATAGATGGCAGAGAAAATTATTTTAGCATTTTAGCCTTTATACATGACTTTTACATGTCATTTATCTTAGTTCACAAGAACGCTCCATCTATCTCCTCCTGACCTGGCCCCCCTGTTCAATTTTAGGACAATTGTGGCCCCTGAGTCAAAAAATCTGCCCACGCCTGGTTTACACCTTTTTAGCCACTGGTTAATCTAAAAAAGAGAGTAAAAAAACATGTTGAAACATCAGTTTACGAAGAATTTCAGAATTTCAGGTTATGCCAAAGATGAGATTTATTTCAGTTGTTTTGTTTTGTTTTGTGACACATTTGCTCATGAGCAGGTGATGTAACAACAGGACGACATGTTTCATCTGTCCAGAGAGTTGGATATATTTCAGTGAAACTAATTCAAATATCATCATTCGAGGTCTGCACTTCAAACCTTGGCACTTCAAATACTGAGCTCAACAGTACACATTAACGACCTAGGACACACAGACACACACGCATGCACACATACACAGGGTTAGTAAATTTGTGGGTTGACCTTCTGTGTGATTCTGTCAGATCTGGGTCAATCCAGTTTCAGGAGGAATGCCACAGTGTGACCTCGTTGCACTGTTTATCAACAGAGTCAAAGTCCACAAGTAACGCCTCCTATATGTACCAGTAGTACTTCTTCTTCAACACAGCTTGTTGTTTTATTCATGTCTACTAAACACAGGGGACATGTTGTTTACACATCAACATGAAGAAAAAAACATGCATCTGCGCATGATCACTTTGAACTAAAATGATTGACAGCTGAGGATTTGGTGAAGACCAGGATTTCAATTCACAACTTTTCTCTTCAGTTTCTGTTTCAGACATGGAGTGCCAGACATTTTCTACACAGTAGGGTGCATTCACACACATCATGAGAAATAAAACCCAATTGTTTTTATTTGATGTCATTATTTGATGCTGTTGCTTTTTTCTACCTGAACATTTCTCACTGTGTGGCTCCACCTCGCTCTCCAGCCTTTCTGTCCAATCACAGAAAAGTTAACAAAATCAAACCAGGTCTTTTTAAAGATCAGACCTCATGTGTCATGGCATACAACCATAACCTGGTCCATATCAACCATTCCATGTTCTGCCTACTTTCCCAATGGGAGTAAAGAGTATTTGTCTCTTTGCAGCTAAAACTAGTTCCTGCAGGCTGTGGCTGGAGCCAAGGACGTCTGTGCAGCTGCAGAGAGACCAAAAGAGGAGGTAGACGTGGTGGTGGAGGAGGAGGAGGAGGATAGGTCTGCAGCATGTGAGAATGTCAAGGTTAACAATGTGATTCTAAAAGTTTGGGATAGTTGGAAGCTTCAGGAGAGTGATTGGAGATGGCTGAGAAAAAAGACACATTTGAGGCTCATGGCTGGAAGATAAGGGTGTTTGAAATTGGCCTCTGAGAAAACACATTTGTAATGTATCCTGATAAACCTGTGGTTAATCATTCATTTCTAAGACATTGATACAGTGTTGGGTGGTCACATGCTACCTCTGCCATTAGATGTGTAGGTGTGTCTCAAAATGCAATATAAGTTGTGGCAATGTCCATGATTATTATTCATTTAGCAGCATTTATTTGTTCCCATTTTGTATCTTGTGTGTGGTGCATGAAGAACAACGCGTAGACCCGTGTTTATAGAACCAACACTGAGCCACTGGATGCATTTCATGCCTGTAATCTCTGTTCATTTTTCTGTCGTTCCACTCTCTTCTGCACTGACTCTGTCACTGCAGCCCCATTTTTACCTCCTCCCCTCCCTTTGGTCCAATCAGAGCCCACGCTGAGGAGCATTTTCTGCTGAATCTGTTCATTCTTTGTGGATTTGTGGGCCACAGAAATATAGATGGGACGAGTGACACAGGATCAGTGAGAAAGTTGGACGGAGAAGGAGGAGAGGAGGACCCTTCACATAATTATTCCTACAAATGTACACTATAAAAACAAAAAGTAACAAAAAGCTTCAACATCCTTAAAATGATCTACATCTCATTTTTTGTTTGCTTTTATTTTTCTAAATACTGTTAGTGTGACAAAAATCAACATTCAACAATTCAACATTTTTTTAGTCAAACTTTTAAACTGTCTTACTGCAATTTAAGATCCCAAAAAATACAATACTTAGACTTAAGCACATGGACCAGATTAAACTGGAAAAACAAACAAAAAAAAAAAAAACTTTGCTGGCAGCTGGTCGGGTTGTTTCCAGAAGATGGCAGCATGCTGGCGTGGTGCTCAGTAACCTCATACAACCACACTACATTAAGATAACATTGTTGTAAAGACTGCTCCACTTGTTTTGTTTAATGAGGCCGGATACAGAAAAGCTGCTCAGGTTATTAAATGATTGCTTTGGTTGAACCACAGTATGTTTCTGTTGTGTTTTGGAAACTTCCTCACTGACTGCTTTAGGCGTTTTTTAACATTTTGTTTCTCGCTATTGTTTTTTTTTTGTAAGCTAATGTTACCTACAACGAGTTAGCTAGCTGGCTAGTTTCAGGAGGCTGATGATATGTTCCAGTCTTTTATTAGCTTCTAATTAGCTTGTTTGCTGTAATGTCCTCTGTAGATTATATTTAATGAACAGTTTACATGGATATGTAACGCAAGGAGTGTTTCTAAAATAAAACTAGTAAGTTGTCTATTTGATTCAACTCTGTATATACCAAAAAAGATCATTAATATTCTCATTAATATTGACCTAAATTCCATGTATGGTAATTTAAAAAATGCTTGACACATGTTGTCCTACATTACCTGCTGTGTTTTGTTTTTTTCTCTCTCACTATATTAGCGACCATAAAGGTGCTGTGTCAGTGCCGACACCTGCACACAGGATATAGACTATGGTTATTTTGACAAAACAAACAGCTGTGAATCACTGATTACCATGGTCGGGCTTGGACGTCTGCCAACATTTGTCTTGAATGATAGTGAAAGATGTTCAGCAATTTCTGTTTGTTCTTTTCCATGGTGGATAGAAGGATTTTATTGGAAGACGAGTTCCTGGAAAATACAAATCCTATTTGTGAAAATGCGACCATTCAATGGAACATTTATTTAAGGACTCAGAAAAGGCTGGTTAGAAATGGACAGACTGACGCTGACCGTGTTGTGCCTGTTTAATATTAGAAAAAAACAATTGCAGAAGGTCTCTTACTTGACTGGGTTGGACCATGTGTCACTTTATTACTGTCCTTATTTATGTCTTGGTGTGATGTCATTCCCATTAAATGTTACTGGGAAAATCCCCCTATAATAAAAGACTTCTCCCTGTTTTTTTCAAATGCCAGAGTCTTGACCACATAGCTGCCTATTGCTTTTGTTTACCTCTGTAGACTGAAGCATGTGTTGCCCTAAATAACAGTGTTTGTCATGTTGTGTGTGTGTGTGTTTGTGTGTCCGTCCACGTCAAAGCAGGACAATTTTAAGTCTGTCTGTGGAAGACATGTTTTATTGTACTTACTTAAATTGTAGCAAAAGTTTGAAACAAACAAACAAACAAACAAACAAAAAACACAGATGGTGTTAGAAAAAAAGGATCCACAATGATTAATCTCATATTGTGGGTCTTCTTGGCTCATGTAAACATATCAATATAAGCTATGGCTTTAATGTTTTTTGAAAACCCTGTGCTACTTTTGTTATCGTCAGTGTTTACCTCTTACTCTTAAACAAATAGGAAATAAGAAAATATATACATGTGTGTAAATAATCTGATCCTGAATTCTAAAATCTGACTTTAAAGCTATTTTTTCTTTTCAAAGTATAACCTCATTTGACATTTTGACCTTTTAGAAAATACATAGCTTTTCTACCTTAATGTTCAACAATTGTGCACTTCTGCATGGGGCAATACATTTGGTTTGTTTTATTATTTTGTTTTAATCTCCATTTATTGGCTATGTATTAACTTTTGTGAATTATGTACTTGTTTGGTTTAAGCTCGTCCCGTTTTCCATATACTGCACAGCTTAATGAAAATGATTTTCTTAACGGAAACTAATTGAAACCATCACATACACCTAAAAGTTGTTATGTTCCAAACATTCACAAAAAGGCTGCTTCAAACAGCCACCACAGCCCACATCTTATTTTTTACAATTCTAATATGATTTCACTGTGGTACTTTTATTACCAGGGCAGGATTATAAATAAGGCCTGAGTGCAATTAACACAATTATACCCGCCTTTGTTTTCACACACACATATGCATCTGTGCAAACATGCATAAGGAATGGCATCATGGCACAATGTCTGCACAGATCATAATTTCCTCCCCACAACCACTAACCATCAAACACAGTCATCTCTCCCAGCGTCTCTTCACTCCTGCCTGTCTTTCCCATGGAGTTATCCCCGCAGCCCAGAACATCTTCCTTCCTCTGAGACCGGAGCGCCGTGAAGACCACACTTATCTATTTACAGACTCCTTTGCCTCCCACTGTGTTCTCACCAGCGCAACACACACAGACAGATCTGGTGTGGAGAGAGGAAGTCCAGAAGGCAGGGCCCACCAAATGACACAGTGGCTCGGCCACAGTGGACGAGTTGGGCCCCGTGTGAGTAAGGAGACAAACTGTGGATTAAGTCTGAGGCTCTGAAGAATGTCAAGAGGGCGGTGAGAAGGGCTTCACTTATCTGACTCCCACTCCTGCAGCCTGTGGAGGAAATGAGAGCTGGTGTTAACAGGCTGAGAAGAAAAGTTAGTGGGTGTGGGTTTTTTTGTGTTTTTTTTTTTTTCTAAATGTCAAAATAACAGTAAATGTGTGCAATGGAAATGCAGTAAATACCAATGTGGTGAAGTTTAAGCTAGCGAGTCCCATACAGCAAAAATATTGTGGGAATATTTCATTTACAGGAATAACATTGTGGCATCATCACAAAGCATATTTATTTTTACTATTCCAGATGTGTGCGTTTGCAGCTGCAAGGCAATAATTTCATCGTCTTGTGAAATTATAGCACCAACACTAACTATGTCTTTTTTCTTTTTAAGATAATGTTTAGTTCTTGTCTTCATCATGTCACGTAACTTGAATGTATGTGTGTGGAAAACTTTTAAAAAATAAAATAACAGTTGAAATTCTGTTTGCAAAGTAGCCAAACTATTGCTTTGCATTTTTCTATATATCTCTGATTATGGTTTTTGTTTAGATTTGAATGACTCCCTGATTTACAGCTGCTATTTCTTTAGGCAGTGTGTGTGTCTTCTGTGCCAGAAACATTGTTTGGAGTTTAGTGGCACCTACAGGTGTGAGTTTGGATACTACTATCAACTCTAACATTAGTAGTATTATATACTACTATCAACTCTAACATTTAGTCTAATTTTACCCATATATTTTTTTTTTTCTATAATTAAGAAAATGTATATATAGTATATTTATATATACATATATGTCTGTCTATCATAGTAATTTGCAAACTTAAAATTTAGTGATACTGTCAAAAACATTTAAAGGACTATTGTAGATTGTATATTGTAGATTGGTGATGGAGTGGGTGAGGAGAGGATCGAGGTAAGAAAGGAGTTGATGACGTCAGAGGACAAGTAAAGTGGGATGGCTTTGTGCGAAGGCAAAAAGAGTGAAGAGGACATCGTCCAGAGGAAAGGAGACTCCGTGAATGAGTTTGTGCAGAGCTGAGCCCAGCTAAGTTCAGCTAAGCTAACTAAGGTTTAGTTAAGAAAGACATTATAAGACGAGGACCGTCTGGAAACACACAGGGATTTTCTTTCACCAGCGTCTGCACAGAAAGAAACTCCGGACTTCTTCCCCGTAAGTACAGAGAGACGAAACGAGCAGAGAGAGAAACTTAAAGCAGCTTAAGGTTACATGTGTGTCTCTGATGGACGTCAGATATGACAACTGTTGTGGACCTGATTTACCTTACACACACACACACACACGTAAGTTTACTTCGAGAAGCTGCTTCGACTTTCATTCATGTGTACAGTCTAATAAAAACTTTAACCACAAAATCAAATAAAACAAGACAATGACTCATTTTAATCTCAATTCCATCATCAGCTGTGATCAACATGGACATATAAGGACCAGGGTTTGTATTTTTCAAAAGCTAATTAAAAAATTAATTAAAAAACAAAACAAAATCGGGATCCAGGTAATAATAGGTAATATGTCATCTTTGAGACAAGAATACAGTGAATATAAGGTGTTTTAATGGAACACACACAATACTTATAATTTAGGATTCAGGTACTGCCAACAATGAAAGGCATTTTAGCAGCTCCTTAAATCAGAGAATACAAATAAACTTGAAAGACAGCAATGTATTTAAACAATAAATTAGCGTTAGCTTTAAGAGAAGTAGAAACGACATTTCAAAGTAACTTTGATAGAATGTGGGTCTATGAGAAATTAAATTCCAATTTGAAGCAAGACTCAAGGGCAGACAGTGACACTCGCACATAATTTATAATTATTAATTTTTATATTTTTTTCCCCCGTAGAATATTTGAACCCTTCTGCTGACTCCCCTATTTTCCCATCCAATTTCACCTAATTTGTCTGAAAACTATTATTCATGTGCTGCAATCTCTTTTTCATGTTTGTCTTTCTTTAATTCCTGCCGGTACATGAGTGTTGTTTTAAACTAAACAGGTTCCCATCAGGTGTGCCTGTTATGGGAGAAGATCTCCACCAACAGCTGACCTACTTATTATACACTACTTTGTTTTTATTTCTTAATGTGTCTTTTTACACTTCACTTCTCTCTGCACCGCAAGGCTTTGTCCTTGAAATGCAGGGAGGAGGTCTATGTAAGTGTGAGCCACCCATGGAGCTGTCCGACGCACATGCACACACAGACACACACAGTGCACCAAGAGGGGATGTGGTACTACAGTATAAAGTAAACAAAATCAGCAAGATGTTCACTGTTTATTCCAGCAGAGTTCAAGGGCAAACTGACACAACAATGAGGAGGGGGAGAAGAAGGAAGGAATCACCCCTATCTCTCTTCCCCTGCTGAANNNTTTAGGATTTGCCCTATAGCTTTCCACATTTCCTAGAATAAGTTTTAGTCATTCCTTGTAAGTCAAGTACCAGCATGTATTCTGTAAACAGTAAAAAAGAAACGGGTGATGCCCAAGAGTTTGTCTCAGGTCGTACCACGACACAGTTTATTCTGTAGTGAAATTGACAATTCTTTGTACTTTTGTGATTGAATGTATTTCAATGGACTTTTACCAGAAAATAATGAGTTATGATAAACATTAGTAGAAAGATGTTATTTTGAGAGAAACATGCTAAAACACATGGAAGATCCTGAAGATCCATGCAGATGGTTGTGAATCATACAGTATGAAGTAATGAAGCCATTCCATTAAATGTTTACAGTTAAAACTCTACCCTGGCTGCGTTCCATATCTTCAGGCTCTTCAGTGTCTCATGTCTGCATATCGAATGCATTGACATCTGGAGCTTTCAGAGGGTTCACAGCTGCTTTCTACGAATTCTGCGACTCTGTGGTGTTCTTATTTAATCCTCTGTTTGGTGAATACCAGGGTGTTTTTAACTTTTCACATGCACTCAACACACATTGTATTTACTACACAGCTTGACAGTAAGTCCACTCTGTAGGATAACTCATTGGCCCACCACAATTTACTTGCAAAAAACCATAGATAACATAGCTTCCAATTGTAATTAACAGATGACTTTTTAGGTCAATGTCACTTTCTTTAGCTTCTCCTTTCTTTAATTTCACAGCCTTTTTACAAAAAAAGTTGTAGGAACTTGATCTCTCTTATCCACTTTATCTATCTGATCCCATTTATATGGACTGTTTTCACACCCGAACCTTACTTTTGGTCACCTAATGTTACATTGTCACCTTAGAGATTTATAAAGATGTATCACAGATACCTGGGGACCTTTGAGTGGCTATGGTAAACAGAGTGAAGAACCTCTAAGGTAGGGCAAGCTTACTGATGAGATCCATGTGACACTGATGACAGTGGTTAAATGTGTAGGCAGAGGTCTTGCGTTTGTGTGTGTGTGTGTGTGTATTCTCTTTTAGAGACAGAAGTTAGAGAAGCGAGGAGGGAGTAACTTCTGGCCACGTCATGCCTGTCAGTTTTGGTGAAATGTGAGGGTCACCAAGAGGCTCTGCGCGTCAGAAACTGTGGGGCCAGGGCAGAGTCAATGTGAGGAGTGGGGGGCTGGGAGAGTTGCACAGATTGAATATGTTAGGGGCCACAGCGGCCTGGCTTTCAGGGAGAAGAGTGTATTGTTGGGCCAATGGTGGCAGGTCTGAAAAGCTCAGGAGTGAGTGGGGTGGGGGGAGAGCGAGAGCTGGTGTTCACTTGCTTTTTGTGAGGCTTTTGTTGAGCTGAGCGGCACCAGATGAAGAGGGACAATTTAAATCAGCAACACACACACATACACCCACTCACATGTGTGTTGGTGTGCACAGAGGGACAAAAAAAGATAATGCCTTTGTCCAGTGAAGACATGCGTTTTTTTATGCAATTCTCCTCTGGTAGAGTGAGCCCAGCCTGGCACTTTTCACAGTTTATGAGTGTGCATTTGTTTTCATGTCTGTGCGTCAGTGAAGTAAACCTTATTGTTTCAGCATGCTGTTAAAGGGCTTTCCACTGCTGACTTGCTGTTTACATTTTGGGGCCTCTTATTGTCATAGAAATCCCTGCCAGTATGGTTTCATTTGAAAGCTCAGCTTTCTCCACTATCCGGTCTGCAAGTATGGAGGAAGAGACTTTTTATACTGTTTAATCCAAGCCCTTGAATAAATCAAAACAACGCCACAGCACTAAACATGCATCCATCATTCACCAGCTGAAGTTGTGGAACACAAGTTGTGGTATATGCTTGTCCATGGGAAACATCCTCTCCTCTCGAAACCCATTCATTCAGTGTTTATGCAGGGTTACAAAGCGGTGGCCTTCAGGGAGACGTTTACAAATAAAAAGTTGTTGAAAAGAGCTGCTTTGGATGATCCTTTTTTTTTTCTGTCAGAACTCTGGAACTTCACGTAAACCAAAGAAATTGGACTCAGCTGGTTCCCTTTTCAGCTCTGTCTCAGCATTTAATATAAAACACACTATTATGAAAGTGGGTGTTTGCATACTTAAGCCCAAAGATTTAGATGGCATCAAAAATATTCACAATACAGTATGTAACTTTTTTGAAGCAGGCACTTTCAAAATGGACCGGGGACCTAGTTTGGTACATGTATTGTTCTGATGTGACTTGTTTGGGCCTCATTTACAAATGATGACTCCTGGGGATAAATATTAGGCTGTAAAAATGTTTAATCTACCAGATGTGGACAGATGTGTCTACTCTGGCTGGTATTAATGCTTGCCCCCAGTTCCTACATCATCTGCCTTGTGATGCCAGAACAGAATGTCCCATGACCTGTTGTTGACTATAGAGTGTTTCTTTGAAGTTTTTAAGCTTTGATTTGAGAATAAATTGAAACTTTAGGGTATTATTTTTGTGTGGTTTGAGGTTTTCTATGTTGCTTCATTCTCCGTCACATCACCTGGAGCTGAATTGGTTGCATACTTTCAGAGAAGAGGGATAGGTTTGGTCCTGCCCAAAACTGAGTTGTTTAATTGTGATTTCATGTCTCTGTGTTTTTCCTTTTTTTTTAAATCTTAGAGATAAAGAGAAAAATCCTCATCTGTGGCATTAGGTTTGCCCTCTGGACACATGTTGTTTTAGGAGCTGCAGTAAGTGGTCTTGAAGAAGGTGAAATATTGTTGTTTGTGATTTTGGTTTTTGGGTTTTCCTCCAGGCTGGTCCAGATGCATGACCAGACCAGGCGCAGCAATTTAGGGAACAGATTGCTTTGGTTTGAGGTTTTTGGTTCAGGATGTGTGAGTTAAGAAATAGAAGTTAATGGAGTCCTACTCAGCCCAGATCAGCCGGGAGGGGTTCATCAAATCTGTGTGGGTGATCCAACTGCTCAAATGAAGTTTCATAAATGGAGACAAACTCATACCTGCTGTATAGAAATTTCCTTTTGTCTTTTACAGTTTTCAATTCCATGTCCTTAAATGGAGTTGTTTCTCGAAAAGTCTCAGATACAGAGTCTTTGATAGAGGAATCAGGGTCAACGGGGCTTCAGATCTCTTACCACCCACCGTCAGTCCTCATTCACTGTCGTCCTTCAAAACAAACTTCAGTGGCCAACACTCATTACCTCAGCATCTTGGCATGCTCCCAGCAGCATTGTTGATATCTCAGAGTAATTGTCGTAGATTTAGAGCTGAATGGTTTCCTCCAACCAACGGCCAACTGACTGACTCACATACAGTCACCTCATAGTCACTGTGTTTTCCAGGGCTCTCCATGGACTCAAACTGTTGTTACGCTTCATTAGTTGAAACTTTATTGACCATAGAAGTTGCTTGGCCAATGTGTTTTCACAGCCAAGGTTTTTTTATTCTCTACATGACTGGCTGTTTATTCACGTTCAGTACTTTTTATTGTTTTTTTAGAAACCCAGGAGAAGTAAATTGTCTTATAGCAGCATGCAGACTGTTCGTGTTGGCTCTGTGAATGAAAGATTGGAAAACTGTGTAAGTTGGCTCTCAGCCCAAGCTACGTGAGTATAACCCTGTGTGGTAGGCTTGGATTTTGCCAGAACACAGGAGCAGTGTGGGAATGAACTGGTCCACATCAGATACAGAACCACACTGTGCCTGACCAGCGTTAATGTAGTATATCTATGGTTTCATCAGACAAACTCAGCCTCACATAAAAGACCCCATGGTCTGTCAGTTTTGGAGATGATACTTATCTATGACAGTGACTCCACCAGCAGATATTTACAGTGAAGAAGATCTGAGACAAACACTGTGTTTACCGAAGCTGCTGGAAGTCACAGACCTTTCAACCACAAAGTTCTTAAAGATTATTCAAGTAATTTGTAATTTCAAGTGTCCCATGTGTTATCTAAGTGTAAAACACTTAGAAACTTGCATGAACAAAAAGTCACCGTGGTAAGGAAGTGCTGTTGAAGCACTTTCTCACACATTGTAGCAAACGGAAAGTATTCATCAGTTTCAGGATGTAGTGACCTTTTTACTCGATAAGTCAATTTGCAGCGAGTGAAACAGGATGTACATATGTCTAGATAAACATTTTAAATGGGTGAAATCTAATTTTGCTCATTTAAAATTTTAAGTTAAGATGTTAGTAGTTGCTTAAATATGGAAGCTCCCTGCAACACTACATACAGAAACTGTTTAAATTTCAGTTTCATATTTTGTATTTTGTTCAGTCTCTTATTTCATCTGGTTGATTAATTTATCAGTGTATAGAAAGGTAAACATTTTGTCATGAACTTAAAACTATATTTAGAATCAAGAGAGAAAGAAAATGTAAGAGTAAAGTAAGAGCCTGTCTAAAATTTTTTTAGCACACCATTATATTTGAAAAAAAAAAGGAATAGATAAAATCAAAATTTTTTTCATACAGTTATACTGACTTGCTACTTTACTAATAATAGTAGTACAATCATTTTGCCTGTAAACTCTTCGTGAGGTACTACATTTGTACACTACATGTGTTGGGGCAAGAAAGCCAAGAATTACTTCCTCCAACTGTTTTGCCCTTAGCCCCACTGAAAAGTCCCCTCGCGGTTTCATTCTGCTCTTAACGCTGTCGTTAGTGCGACTACAGAGATGGGTGAGTGTAGAGACTTTCTGTAAGTGCAGAAGAAGATCACACAAGGTGCCTGCTGACTGCTTCCTCAAAGGCATGTTTAGGCTCCATCCCTGTAGTTTAAAGAGGCAGAGCTGCTAATTTGTGGGCATTGTAGTCTTAACAGACAGCATCGTGCCCAAGCTTGGACAGACTATAATCAGCCGCATGAAGAATACACCACAAAAACTCCACAGAAAATCAAAATGTAGCCTGGGTGGCTGTAGACAGAATCTAAAGCAAACAAACATGCAGTGATGGTGTCATCTCCAAAAAGATTCACGTTTATAGCCATACATTTTTCTCAGACCTTTTGAGTCTGTAGTTTGAAGGTGCTCAAGGTCTTCTTGTATTCAATGCTGACATACTCAAATACAAATGTGAAAATATGAAAGTACAAAAGGAAAAGACAGGCTTTAGCTTACTTTAAATAAAATCACTTAAGTTTCTTCTTTCCAAAAACCCATCAGATGTTTAACTGGTCAGGTGGGTAAAAACATATACGGTATTCCTAATTATTAGCCTCATAAAACAGGACTCTGAGTCAGAAACTGTTGGGCCTGGATGGGTGCATCCTGTTTACTTCTTGCTTGTTAATTTCTTCACTGCCTAATGATACATAGTAAAACTGCTGTAGCTTCTTCATCCTGTTGCCCTAATTCAGATCAGTTCCAGCTGTAATATTCACCTTAAGTGCATCTTTAGGCTTTGTAATTATACAAAGACTGAGGGTTTATGCAATCTCTCATTTGGGTGCAGAATTTTAGAACGAGAAGAAAGCAAATTCCCAGTTGTGCGCTCCCGAATTTTTGCAGCGGATGAAATTGAACGTTGCAAACATACATTACTGTCAAAGGAAAACAAACCAAACATCACAAACAAGCACAGTTCTCCGTACCAAAAAGGCCGGCCGTAAATATAGCATGACTGCTCCAAAACAACCATGGCCTGCAGACATCCAGGAATCCGCCCTCATCAAGTGTTGCAAATCTCATACCTTCACTTCAGATGTTGTCAGGCCTGTGACTTTGTTATTATAACTACCTCTGCTGGTTTTTAGTCAACCTCTCCTCCGGAGGAATCACTGAACCCTTTAAGCTGCAGGAGATAATACTTATTTAGTCGCCTGGGACATGTCTGGAGGCTTCTGCCTTGAACTGACTCAGATGGTATCACAGCAGCATTCATTTCTTGCAGATGTGGTGAGATGATTTGTTGTTCTGGCGTGAAGGTTATATATTACCTAATACCACATTTATTCCCCTCCAGGCGGTGAAGTGAATTAGGGCCGTTGATGAGTGTGTTCTGTGCTGAGCTGTGTGTTTGTCATCACCGTAGTGATACATGCAGCAGAAATTGGAGTGATAATTTGACAAAACTGCTGCGTGTTATTGGTTTCGTAAGTGGCACTGAGGTAAAGTTGACTATCTACAGGGTCAAACCAAAGACAAGTTCAGTCACAGTGATCTTTTCCCCACTGATTTTATCATTAAAACACAGAGAACATAGCTGTATTTAATCATGCTTTTCAAAGTGTGAGTCGGGCCTCCCCTAGAGCACTTCAGGGGAGGTGTGAAACAAAGAAGAAAAAGTGCAGAACAACATCTAAAGTAGATTACGTACATGAGGAGTGGATTGATTTGTTACACTGATTCTTATCTTTGGATTTTGCAGGATTGGTTTTGGACAACTTTTTTATCTTCATTTCTATTCAAACTTGACGACTTGAATAATAATTCTTACAAAGACCATTTGAATCAGTTTGTCTTTTTGCAGTTGCCTGTTTTTGTGTTGATGTGTGAGGAGTATGTGTGGGATTGGGAAGGGCCTACAGTTTGGAAGTCGTAACCTTAGGTTTTCTTCCAGTACTGCTGTTTCTTCCCACGAAACATACACAAGTTTAGTTTAAATCTTTAGCTAAATTGACCATAGGTTTGGGCTGCAGTGCAAATGGTTGTTTGTCTCTATACAGGAGCCTGTGATGGACGAGGGACTGTCCATGGTATACCACGTCTGCACCAATGACTGCTGGGATTGAAAGTCCTGGGATTTAACTTTTTGTCACGAGCTTGTTAATAGCAAATGTTCTTTGTATATACATTTAGAACTTTAAAAAAACACAGGAGCGCAAAGTGGCAAGAACAGTCAAAACCATCTTAGTGGCCATAGGATTGGGCGCTGCACCTGGTGGACTGCTGCTTTGGAATTAATTTCTCTACATGGGGGATGACTATAGTCTTGATTTTTCTTTTCCCTGTCCTACATCAGAATCTAAATCCAGAGCCATTGGCTCATCCAAACCATACTATAGCAACAGCATCACAATCACCATAATTTAAAACTGTACTCATTTGTTCCACACATTTGAAAACTGACACACACAAATATTGCCGTGGAAATGTCATCTGTTACACATTTGCAATCAAGAGTTGAACACTGCTGGAGGAAAAAAAAAAGAATCAAGAAATGTGATTTTTTGCTACGGTTTCATAAAAAAAAAAAAAAAGAAGAAAACTGCAGCAGTGAAGCCAGTAACTATCTAATCTATCACATGCGCCCCACTGTAATCTGAAGAGTGAGCTGAGTGGCTGATATCATGTGTGTGCTTGCCACAGCAGCCGTGACCTGGCATGTGGTACTGTGTGTTACTGTCAAATTGTGGCATGCTGTAACAGCTCTGCACTGACATGTGTTGACAGCTGCCGAGCAGCAAAACACACACACGCCTCCTGTCATTTCACAGATAGAATCAAACACAAAGAGGTGGTAATCACCGGGAGAATGATGACAGTACGAACTGTTTGGTCTCAGGCAGAACATGTGATTCAACAAGTGACTGTTGGGGCAAACATCTGGCAGTGTTACTCATGCCGTGTCCACACTCACTGCTGCCCATTACAGGTTTGAGGGGACGCTCTGTGGGACGATCCAGTGCCAGGATGTGCCTTTTTTAAGACACTGACTGGGGGATGTCCAGCAAAACAAAGGGAAACTGGATGATTCATAGTGAACGTGATGGGAAACGTGTGTGGCCGCCCCCTCCTTCTGATTTCTCCCACTCCCACATCTTATGAATACTATCTCCTGTTTGTGTGTCTCTGAGCCTCACTGTGTGTCTCTGTGTTCGTAGGTCTCCTTCTCAGAAGATACCATGGCCGAGGGAAGCTGCTTTGGTGCATTGTAGGGTTTTGTGGATTTCTGGTGCTGAACCTTTTCTCAGATAGAAAGAAGAGAAAGCGTAAAAAAAAGGAAAGAATCTGGGGAGGAGGGACAACATCTGCTCAGAAGGATAAGATCAGCAGCCCATCTGGATCTGAACAGGGAACCTACTGGACCTTTCTCTTTCTCTTTGTAAGGAAAGGAATTTCAACTCCAGAACCGGCGCTCTGTCACTCGGTGGAAACCAAACAGACCAAATTCTATTCTTCTGTTTTCCTACCTTATCAAAGAGAATTAGCAAAATGTGTCATGTCATTGTAACATGTCGCTCCATGCTCTGGACTCTGCTCAGTATTGTAGTGGCCTTTGCGGAGCTCATTGCCTTCATGAGCCCTGATTGGCTGCTGGGATTCCCTCGGTCGGACTCCAGTGTGAGTGGAGCAGGAGTAGACTCTGGAGAGTACCGGCCGTCCCTCGGCCTCTACAGTCGCTGCCTTCGTGTCGGGACACGGGGAGTAGGCGTGAGCTGTGGCCCATACGCCGGGACATTTGGGGAAGTGGCCAGTGGCTTTTGGAGAGCTGCCATGTTGTTTTTGGCGGCGGGAATCTTAGTGCTTGGTTGCGTGGCCTGCATTTCCATCTTCAGCCTGTGTTTTCAGAGCATCCTGAAGAAGAGCATATTTAACATCTGTGGCCTGCTGCAGGCTATCGCAGGTGAGACGACCACCTCCTTAACTCTTTGTCTCCAGGATTGAAGATTAGTTTGGTGCATTTAGGAAGGACATTTTAGTAGTTTTAAGATTTGTTTACAAGGGACTGTTTCTATATGAACTGATTGGTTCTTTGTCATGATAGTTGACAGTTCCAGTGCAATAAATGTTTGATGAAAACCATGCAAATTAGAGCAGATAAATTGGAGTTTGGAGATTAACCCAAATAACTTGAATTAGAATATATATAAATCTAGAATATATTGTGAAAATGTTACATGCATCAAGATATAATGTGTATATTGACCATATTGCATGTATCAGTGAATGTAATCAGACTCATGATCATGTATCGGCCACGATATTATTTGAAAAAGCAGAATTGTCATTGGCCCATCTTTTTTATCATAAAATAAACATTTTTAATTTGCTTAGAATAATATATATTTTTCTTGCCTTTCCAATATTGCTTTATATTTCACTTTACTTTGACAACAGGAATTCAATTATACCTCAGTCTTTCAACATGAGATGTTACAACATGTTTTCTGTCTATTAAAGTATTTTTATAACTTGGCAAAATATGTAAAATCTAAGATTGAGATAAAATAATACACCGAGTCTGGAAAAAAAAAAGTATAGAAATATATTAATATATTTTCTCTCCAGACTTGTAGCAGTTCTACATATTGTTTTCCTACAGTCTTATGTGCCTAGGTCTGTAATACAGAAGACTTGAAGTAATCCAAGTAGGCAGGAAATAGCTCAACTTTTGCTGAAGTTTATTTTGACATCTCAAATCTCTGACATAAGGTCGATGATATTTACACTGATCGTGCCAGGACGTCTACTGTAGCTCTTTGACTTTATAAGGTGTTCCATTTCACTTTTGTTAATTAAAGGCTGTATTTTCCACAGACACAGGCTGCAGCAGGTATGTGTGTGTGACTGAACACGCTAATCTGTCATTATATGACATCACTGTCAGTCAGATTGAGTTTAGGCGGTAAAAAAATAAACATATTCTTCCCCAGAGCTGAGTCACTGTGTTCCCAGCTGTACTGGGATCTGTTTGTACTTTTAGATTCAGAGACGTTTACATGTACGTGACTAAATATCTATTTTTTTTTTCATCTGCTCTCCCTGCAGGCCTGTTGCTGATGGTGGGCCTCATGCTGTACCCTGCTGGCTGGGGTTCAGAGAAGGTGATTGGTTACTGCGGTGACGAAGCCTCGCCCTTTAGACCCGCGCTCTGTTCGCTGGGCTGGGCGTTCTATGCAGCCATAGGAGGAACGCTGGCCACCTTTCTGTGTGCCGTTCTGTCCGCTCAGGCTGAGATTGCCACCTCCAGTGACAAGGTTCAGGAGGAGATCGAAGAGGGGAAGAGTCTCATATGTCTGCTCTGAGCCTTTTGATAACATCCCTAGTGTGTTTTACAAAAGCAAAAAGTTTTCTTTTTTTTTTTTTACCTCAGTCAGGTCAAAACAGTATATTGTTTGGTGACAGCTTTTTGAAATGGCAATAGCTGAAACCAAGAACAATACCCATACAAATTTTCTTTCCTGCAAAAAAACAAAAAACAAAACAAAAACCCAGTTTATTTTTATTATCTTTCTCGCCCTGAACAAACCACTGACCTAGAACACAGAGAGAATTGTGTTGTTGAGGAACGAGTAAAAACTGCCAGTAAAACAGCGGACGGGACCATAACGTCATTATATTGTTCATTTACACGGTTCACCTGCAAAACTCAACAAACCACTGAACACAAGCAGATGTGCCCACCAAAGCACAAGTACAAGAATGTACTGCATGTGTGTGTGTGTGCGTGTGCGTGTGCGTGTGTGGCTGTTGAGGTTGCTAAACCTTCTTATGCTCTGATTTTTGGGGCTCATCAGGGGCACTATAGTCTAACCTGACAAATTTAAATATGTCACTTGAGAAGCTTATTTCAAAATATTATTTTTTTTGTTTGTTTATTAAATACATTTTATTTACTGTAGGTTATTGTAGCTTAATGACAGCTGGTGTGTATGTGCTGTGGTGTCGGTGAGACCTTACGCTTCACTTCACTGGGTTTTAGTGATTCTCTCACGTAGGTCACAATAGACTTATCTTTTTTTATTAAGCACTTACCCTTAAAAGCCCTTATGACATTTCTCCATATGTTCTCGTAAATCCTACCAGTGTGATGTCGTGCTTCCGTTCACTGTAGGTGAAATGTGCAATAATTGATCTGTGCTGTGGGATGGAGTTGACTGAGAAGAAGTGACAGTGACATGGGTTTGTATCGCACAGTTTTTCTTGGTCTGTCTGTTTCAATTCATGTTGACCGTCTGCTGTTTTGTTACATTAACAAGAATAACAGACTCTGGGTCAGGTGTTCTTATGCTGTAGGATAGTGGTTCTCAAACGTTTTATACCACCTGAGAAAACCTTGATCTCTCTGAGCTCCACCATGATGACCAACATTAGAATATAGCAGCATAGGCCTTCACTATTAGCTTCCACCACAGGAGAGATGTTTAGAAATGTTTAGAAAGATGTTTATGTTTAAATGTTGTATTAATCGTGCATGGTATGTTTCATATGTATTCAACTGAAAATGTAAATGTGAAAATATGAATTTTCCCCACGTACCACTAGAGAGTGCTCGCGTACCACTGGTGGTACCCGTACCACAGTTTGAGAACCACTGCTGTAGGATTAAGATCAAGAGGTATACGATATGAAACATATATGAGGTATGTGTATAGAGTGTAAATAGTCTGTGCTTGGACTCAAATAAACCAACCTTAAGTGAATGAGCTTCTTCTTGACACATTATTTTTGTCATTTCATTTCAGTTCAATGCAGAGCGAACTGCTTTAGTGAAACAAAGACCTTTTCCCAGTGTGTGTAAATGACGTCTGTATTGACAGAGTATTAGAGCAACGATATGTGGAAGGACCGTGGAATTATGCGTTATACAGGGTGTGTTTGTCTCAGTATCTGTGCTTGACAATATGTTAATAGTTTTAATCTGGTTAATTTTACAAATATAAACATACAGTAAGGCACATAACGTTTTACTGGAAATACTGCAAACACTCTTATTTCTTTCAAATTTTATTCTATGTTAATACAATAAATATACAAAACTCAAACTATTTCACATGCGACGAAGGCCAGACGAGAGTGCAATACATTTTCTTTTTACATATGACTGGTGATGGGGATCAAATTTTCATATTACTTTACAAAATATACAAGTGTCCCTTTTGAATTAGTTTCTAGTTTAAACCAGTGAAATCAAATTCAGTTGGGTTTAAAAAAAAAGAGAAAGAAAAGAACAACACAGTTTAGTGTCGGCAAACTACAGACACATCGTTCTGTACTGCAGACGTACTCGTCAAATACATCAACAAATATCCACTGAGGCATGGCTTTGTTTATCTGCTCCAAACTATAGATACATTGTCATTGTTCCAGTTCAAACTGTTCCAGTAAAATACAACCAGGAGACACATCACAAACTTGGATTTGAAAACAAGTCTAAATGACATTTGGCAGATCTTTCACAGCTTGTCAGGACTTAGAATAACACTTGAGGGTTTTTTTTAAAAATTCTATGCACAACTATTGTACATACAATGTCGTCCACACGCACACAACTTTCGCAGTATTAAATCGCAAAAATCACAGCACAAAGTAAAATAGATTAAAAAAAAAATCAAACCAAACAACTAGAAAGCAAACAACATAAATAACATCATAAATAAACTAGAAATGTGCAACCACTCAGAAACGTGACAACGTCGCCACTACTTTTTGATCGTTACTTGCTCGTGTGAGAGCCACACACCTTTCGTGTAGACACAGCAGTTCACTGGCCGTCTACTGTGCGCGCACACACATTCAGCCACTCATCAACAATATGAGATGATAGAGCACAACACAAATGTTCATTTTTCACCTCAATGACAGTAGTCTGTACAAGTCAGTGCTGAAAATAATACCATTACTATTGTATTTCAGAGGGAGCGTCCAGTCATTTTCTGACTCATTTTCTTTTTGTTTTGGCTACGGAACTCTCGCACGAGATGAAACATATCAACAAAATTTAACGTTAGTGAACAAAAACAATACGCTAATTATCAGATAATCTGAAGACTTTTCACAGTCCAGGTAGTCTTCAGTGAACAAACACAGGTCGACTCTCATTAGTCTTTAATCGTTTATGGTGTGTGTGTGTGTGTGTGTAGGTCTGTTGTGAGAAATTGTGACAGCAGGAGGACTTGGCCAATCGGCTCTTAGGCTCAACAACAACTGTGCGCGAGCCGCTATTTATGCTGCTATGAAAATCATTTTACGTTTTTGGGTGAAACGCGGCGACCTACTGACCTGCATAATCACACCTGGCACACCGCCCGCCGACACATGCAGTATTGCATGGCTCATGAATTAATGAATAACAGACAGAAAGAAAATGTCTTCACTCCTAATGCCCTGAATAAAAGCAGACACCGTGGGCAGAACCACGTCTGCCGTGAGTGAGCTGAACATGCGTGTTCCTTTTCATGCTTTCACACCTCAGTATGTTACAGTGATGTCGACCGAGGCCACTTCACCAAAACTCACAGAAGCACACAGAGGGAGGGAGAGAGCAGTTCAACCAGCTAGTGTGGCTTAAAGGCTGAGGATGGTGGCTGCAGGTCTGTCCTGTAATAAGAACATTTAGACAATCCTATTTGTGAGTTGTCAGTTTAACCATCTTGACAACAGCAGATAAGGTCAAATTCACCTTTAGCGTCTCCACGATCAAGCACAGGAGTGTTAAAAAAAAAAAAAAAGAGTTACAATTATCTTAAAGTACAGCTTCATACAGGGTCACAGCCAATCAAACGCACACTGAATTTCCAGTAGGTGACCATGACAACAGTATTATGTGCAAACACCATCATCAGATTATCAAGTATTTTTATGTCTGTAAGCAAAAAGATTTATGCCTGAAATACGATCGCGGCCAAATTGAGGATCAACGCAACCTGACAGACGAATGGAGATCGTGATGATGCGTGAAAGAAGTACTATCTCAGACCGTCTGAGAATACCTGGAGTAACTTTATGGACATGTCAATGGGAGTGAGCCGAGGTCACCTGACTGTAAAGCGGACCAATTGGATGTGTTTCTAAATGATAGTGGGTGAACAGCTGTGGGTTTGATGTCTGTTAGTCTTGCTACATTGAAATACACGGTGAACAGGGCGACATTCAGAAATGAAATCAATTTGATCTGAGGAACAAGGTCAAAGCCTTACATCTGATATCTTTTCAGAATATGTGTGTGTATGTGTGTGAACGTGTGTATTTGTGTGTGTGTTGATTCAGGGATGAGGTTTAAAGGCTCCACGAGCAGCATTGGTTGCAGCACTGGCTGCAGCGTTAGCGGCCGCAGTCTGCACCGTCTTGTTGGACATGACTCCAGTCGCGAACTCCTGCTGGGCTTTCTCAAAGCTAGCACCAGTGGTACGGTAGAGTGCGTGTACCTGGGGGGGAGAACAGAGGAGGGGTGAGAGAATATTTGTGGTAAAATGAACACAATGAAAACATTTTTGACTCCTTTTTGAGGAAAAAAGTACATTTCAATCCTAGTAATAGGATTGAAATGTACTTTTTCCCTCTGCGACTCCGTGTTACATTTAGTGACTCAGCCAGGAAGTCAACTTTAGATGAGTGTCTTCAACCATTTAATATAACTCTGTCAATGATCTATAACTAAGGGACTAAATAAGGAACTTCAACCTCAGTGACTAATGCAGAGCCCATGGAGAATTATCTGTTACCTTTTTGAACATGATGAGCGAGCCCACAGACAGTGCAGTGAACAGAGCGGCAATCAGCAGCATAATGATGCCCACTGGGATACTAGTGTTCAGACCGGTTAAAGCTGCAATCCAGCCACTGGCAGAAAAAAAAAGAAAAAATGAGAACAGACAGTCAGTTCACACTCACCATTGCTACACGTTACCACTGAACACCAAATACTGACCATGTTCCCCATCCAGAGATGCCAATAGCTTGTAGAACATGAACGCCAAACTGGCAGATGTAGACAAAGAAGAAGACGAAGAAGCGGAATGAACTGTCGCTCCTGCAGTGGACAACGAGGGAGGGAGTGAGAAACAGGGACATTTGGAGAAGGGTGTAAAAAACACAAAAGTGTACACAAAAGTATGCTTTGTGTCTACTGAGTCCTTATCCATGGCCTTTTTCAAACCTCCTCAATGATAGACTGGGCCACTAAAATGTTTTTCTGGGCTGCATGTGGACCTCAAGCTACTATTTGAATAGGCAGGGGTTAGGGTCTATAGAATAGATTCTGTATGAGAAACATTTGTAGGACATTACTAAGATGGGTTAGAGTGATGTGAATGTGACAGAAGAACATCCTGAGTGGAGAAAATTACATTTTTGAAAGGTCAGGATGCTGAGCTGTTTGAATGGCAGTAACCAGAACAGAGAGGATGAGACATGAAATGGAGTCTGAGCGGCATGTTGGAAATGGAGTTAACAAAGAAATACATATGAACTGATATATAATTGAATGAGACATGGATGATTTGATACAATAAAGAATTAAGACTAATTCATCTTTAACTGGAGCATTTTCCTTCTTACTTATTTGATACTTTATTGATAGTGACATCAGAAATGAACGGGTAAAATAAAAATCTAAAGTGGATTCAATTCACTTACCTAAACGCCCCATAAAGTGGTCTATACCAGCAGACAAAGGAACAGGGGGTAAAAAGCAAAAACCATAAAATGGCCAGACCAAAGTCTACACCATGAGTTGCATCCACAAAGAACCAGGATAGGCAGCCAAACATATTCACAAAGAGAGTTCCTGCATGAACTGAAGACGGGGACAGAGAGACAGAGATGTGCCATGCTGTTGTTAAAATATTTTGCCTTTGTTCATGACACCATAAGTTGAAGCTTCCCTTTTTCCTCTACTGTTTTCATGCACATTTAGCAATAATTTACCAAAGTATGCAGAGAAAATGAACACCATGATGATCCACTCACATATCCAGAGATTGTACATGATCTTGACTGTCTTCTGGAACTCTATAGGGATGTCCACAGCAATATCGTGGTAGAAACATGGGCCAACAGGAAACTTCTGTGGTAGTGGAGGCCAGTTGTTCTTACGACCTGTGTGGAAGAAGCCAGTTACGGATTAAGAACAAAAATAATTCAAACCTTTTGTACAATTCTTCATGCACAAAATTTCCCTGACTGTATGTAGAACCACAGAAGTATCTGCATCTATTTATCCTTGGTGTTGCCTCTAAACCAGTGGTTCTCAAACTGTGGTAAGCGTACCCCCAGTGGTATGTGAGCGCCCCCTAGTGGTACGTGGGGAAAATTCACATTTTCAATTGAATAAATCTGAAACATACCATGCACAATTAATACAACATTTAAACATATGTGTGGTGGAAGCTAATAGTGAAGGTCTATGCTGCTATATTCTAATGTTGGTCATCATGGTGGAGCTCAGAGAGATCAAGGTTTTCTCAAGTGTTACAAAGTAGAAAAAGTTTGAGAACCAATGTACTAAGCAATCTAACATTCTACTGCTTGATTTTGGTGCAGTAGCAGCGTTCAGTGGTCACTAGTGTAGACGGTGCCCTCTTATGGCCACATATAGTGTTTCTTGTTTTGCTTATATAAGTTGCTTCAGAATACAAGTAGCAAGACTAGCAAAACTACTATTTAGGGCGACCTACGGTCCAGAAAATATAATACACAGTTTTAATAACAAAAAAGAAAGTAAGAATATGATACAATAAACATATAAAAATATCCCCTCCATATAAAGCTACATGAACTTCAAGAAAGGCAAACTGCACAATTTTGAAATCTAACCAAAGGCTGCAGACTATATATTTTTCACACAAACTAATCTTTACGATTTTGTGTTCTCACGTTGTTAGATTTCAGTGGTTTTCACTTTTGTTTGGGTCTGCAGCAGGAAGCTGATAAGACACCAAATGGCTTTCCCGAGCACAGTCACATAGCCCCACACATTCAAAGAGAATTTCCCCAAATTCTTTTCACATCAACTAAAAACACCTCTACTCCCTGGGAACAATGGGAGATCTCCCAATCTACCTTCTCACAGCGAACCCCGAAGCCATCCATTCCTTTTGATCTACATGATCACCTGTGGTTGACTGGACTTCATGGCTCGGTCCACTTCCCTTGTGATAACCCCCCACTCAGCAACAAAAGGTTCTTCCAACACTGCTGAATCATGGAACAGCAGTGCCACATAGTGGCGACAGCAGACATCACATGATACAAGAACAATAATATGATTGGCCACAAGAGGCCTAGCCTCTCTCTTCTATTGGCCTACAAGATTTAAACACACACCCAGGAAGTCGAAAACCACTCCCCCCACACAGGTATATAAGCATAAACAACTAATGATACTTTAGAAGTTATTCTTGACAGGATTTGCGTATTGACTAATGTTGTACGAGATTTCCTTGAATACTTCTCCGGTTGTTATTTTGCTTTATGGTTGGACCTGTTTTGTTTGACGTTTTGCTATTAAAACGAATCAACCATCTACGCGCTGCTTCCACTCCTTGCCTGAAGACCCCTCGCACAGCAAGAATCTTTCAACGTCGAGTGTGAATGTGTGAAGGAAAGAGACGTCACTGAAGAAGTGAGGGACCACCTGCAGCTCCGTGGGACTGTAACTCTCTTTCCCAACGGTCAAGCTCCGCTGCTTTCTTCTCCAACTCCTCCTGTCTTCTAAGCAGCTCAGCCTGAGCACGGGCTTGATCCTAACAAAGACACAGAAATACTTCTAAGACACAAGTTATGACATGTAATAAGGGGACTAATGAGAGATCATTTTCCACTCAGGTGAGCTGTCGGCTCATTTGTCTTTTATGTTTGCAATAAAGCAATTCTAAAAAAAGCCAAATATAAGAGGGAGGGGGAACCAATTCACATGAAACAAATGTGAAGGTTGTGGAAAACACCTCATGACCCGTCTGCAATGTCGTCAGAGCACATGCACGTGTACGTGTGTCAGTATACGTTGATAAGGGTAGAACTAACAGCTGCATGGTCTTGGTGCCGTACCTGATTCCTCGGCTGTGAATAAGCCGGCGGCTCTTCTGTGGGATTCATGATGGCGGGCTGTGTGTTCTGGGAGGGGGCTGGAGTAGATTTGGCAGCATCTCCAAGGCCTCCCTGTAATTATTAATAATTGTTAATACATGTACTGTTCACAAATACAAAAACCTCTCATTAAACTAAAATTAGGCCACAGTTAAATGGAGTCAGTGGAGTCCTCTCAGACTGAGGAGTTGTGGGTAAAAAGGACAGTAGTCTATTAGACAAATTAGGTCACTGACTCATAGAGCACACAGACAACACAAGCGTGCACACTCTTGGTGATGGTGGTAATACTCATGCTGACCGTTCTGGTATCTGTGAAGGGGTTGTACTCCTCCAGACCTCCAGGAGGAGCAGACCTGGTCACTTGTGTCACTGAAGGATCCTACAGAGGAGAGAAATGTCAGGGGGTTAAACATGAATCAAATTGATTAAAACCATTATTTTAAATATTTCAAGAACAGACAAAAACCAAATCCCACCACTGATCATCTAAAGCCTGGAATATCTTGTTGATATAACCAGGCTTTGTTGGAAATAATCAATTAACATGTACATACTCTATATCACACGGTAAAGCAAATACCAGGGATACATTCCCTAAAAGAGAAAAGGTTCTTTATTTACCAACAGCTCATCTCACCTCTCATCAAATATTGCTTGTATCATTAAGATTGCATTTATTATTATGTATGACTACTTTGAAACTATAATGTAACAGATCTTTTAAAATTGACAGCTGCGTGTCATATATTTTAAATGTAATGTCAAATGAACATAAAGGACAGAACTGTAACACTGCGGCACAGATTGGAATACCATTCAGCTCCTAGTGGATGATAATACAGCTGACAATGGTTGTGTCATGGGTAAAATAGTGACAAGGTAGTCTTTAGTGTCGGAGGACAGTCACCACAGTCCTCTAGAGACTTTCAGTAGGTGTATCGGGAGAGGTTTTTGAAAGGTTGCTGCACCACCTGGTCTCTCAGAAAGACCCAGAGAACAACTGGTTAAAGGTTTTTTTTTTTATAAAGAAACCCACATGGAAAAAACAAACAATTCCATTATAGATTAGCAAACCCAATGAAAATTTAGCTTTTTATATATGATTGTGAAAAAACAGATCTGTTACTTTTATATCAAAAACAGAATCAAACACCTTACACCAGAAACAGCAGATGCTTTTTTACATTTGTGTTTGTCTGAATATCATGTTTTTATTGCCTACGAGCTACAAACACTTTATAGTAAAAATATATTACATGCTTAGGCATGTGGAAAAACTGGCTGATTTAAGCACAAATGAAGAATTTCTTGTCAGCATCTGGCCTCCAATAAATAAAAAACATTGACTCCACTGCATCTTGAGAATTTTAACGGTACATTAAGTAGTGAAATCATTATCTAGTAGCTTTTGATTAGCCATAATAACACGCTCTGTAGTGAAGGCATGCAGGTTAATTTGGGGCTCAATCAACGCCACCTTACTGTGAGCGGCAGCAAATGAACGTCAACACTGTGGGTGATGGACATGTGTCTGCTATATCTCGATACTGCCAAGGTAACTCCAGTAATGTTAAAAACAATACTGTGACCGCATTTAACGTTGTCCGGCAGTGTGTGTAACCGTTATTTCAGCCTTAAGTATAATGTGGAGCTCACGCTTTGTAATATGTCTCATGCTATAAAAATACAAACGTGAAATGTATTACAGAGGTTGTGTTAACTTATTGTGCTATCCAGTGAGCTGTAGAGCTCTTAGCAGTGACCGTTAGCATTGATGCTATTGTAAAACCATAATTCCCATATGTAGCATTACAGTGTTAGCTGACTTGTTAGCAACGTTAGCTACCTGGAAAGGGTTGCTGAAGTCCGGGTCTGCAAATGGGTTGCTGTCAAAATCAGACATTTTGTCTCCTTTATTTCAACAGTTCACCGTGTGAAACAGATCCACGGTTCACCAGTGGATGTAAGGACTTTTAAAACAGCTGCCTCTCTCCGCTGCTCGCAGTCTTCACAGCCTCCTTCTGATGGAGACCCCTTGCCTGGAAAATTAGCTTGTATCTGCCAGCGATGACGCGTGACGAACCGCACCGTGACGTCACAGTTTCAGCACCGCGGACAGCATGACGTCTGCTCAGGTATAATGCGTGTAAAAAACAATGAGGTGAGTAACTCATTAAATATATAATAATAATATAATGTTTTCTACCGCGGGGTTTTGACTAATATCAGTACAACAAAAATGGAATGTGTTAACGTTCGCCTGACATTAATGTAAATATCAAAAATGTTTTTGTTATAACCTAATCAGAAGCACAATATACCGTTTCTACTGTATATATATTTATATATATATCCTCCGTTTTACTGCAGGAATGTCTTTTTTTCATTTTCTTTTAGACAGTTTTTTACAGTGGTTAATTTTTGGTTAATTCTGACAAGGCCGTTATTGAACTTTAAATGTATAAATTATGTTAATAACTAAACCAAAAACTTAGATTAGTACAAGGAATAATGCTACACACACTGTGGTCCACTAATGAGACAAGAGTATTCAGTTTAATAATAAATAACCCATAGAAGTCTACAAATATTTGGAGATAAGTGTGTCCTTATCCTATGGTTTCTTTTATTTTGTAATTTACTCCCATCCTTGCCTAAAGAGATTTTAAAAAATGTTCTTTTCTGTCAAAGACAGAGAAGAAGAGGAGGGCGTTTGGTTAGGAGAAAAAGAGAAAAGATGAAGAATAGAAGTGTTGGTCTGAAGTTTGGAACTCTGAATGTAGGTACAATGACAGGGAAAAGTAGATAACTAGCTGATGTGATGGAGAGAAGAAGAGTAGACATTCTGTGTGTGCAGGAGACCAGGTGAAAGGGCAGTAAGGCTAGAAACATTGGAGGAGGCTACAAACTGTTTTATCATGGTTCAGATGGGAAGAGAAATGGAGTAGGGGTGATCCTATAGGAAGAATATGTAAGAAATGTGGTGGAGGTGAAATGAGAGTCAGACAGGTTGATGTGTGTGAAGGTAGAAGTAGAAGGAGAGATGATAAATGTTGTTAGTGGCCATGCCCCACAGGTGGGCTGTGAGTTGGAAGAAAAGGAGACGTTCTGGAATGAGCTGGATTGGATGGTAGAGACTATCCCCAGGAGAGAGAGAGTGGTGATTGGAGCAGACTTTAATGGTCATGTAGGGGAAGGGAACAGAGGAGATGAGGAAGTGATAGGCAGGTTTGGTGTTAGGGAGAGAAACGTAGAAGGACAGGCAGTGGTAGATTTCACAAAGAGAGTGGAAATGGCTGTGGTAAACACATATTTCCAAAAGAAAGAGGAACATAGGGTGACTTACAAGAGTGGAGGCAGGTCCACACAGATAGATTATATTCTATGTAGAAGATGTAATCTGAGGGAGATTAGAGACTGTAAGGTGGTGGCAGGTGAGAGTGTAGCCAAACAACATCGGATGGTAGTGTGTAAAATGACGATGGAGGTGACAAAAAGGAAGAGAGTGAAGACAGAGCAGAAGATCAAGTGGTGGAAACTAAGGAAGAGACATGTTGTGAAGACTTCAGGAAGGAAGTAAGGGCAGTTCTGGGTAGTGTTGAGATATTCCCAGATGATAGTGAAGACAGAGCAGAAGATCAAGTGGTGGAAACTAAGGAAGAGACATGTTGTGAAGACTTCAGGAAGGAAGGAAGGGCAGTTCTGGGCCATGTTGAGGAATTCCCAGATGATTGGGAGACTACAGCTGCAGTGATTAGGGAGACAGGTAGGAAGGTGCTAGGTATGTCTTCTGGGCAGAGAAAGGAGGACAAAGAGACCTGGTGGTGGAATGATGAGGTCCAGGAGAGTGTGCAGAGAAAGAGATTAGTGAAGAAGAGATGTGACAGTGACAGAACAAAAGAGAACAGACTGGGGTACAAAGAGAGGACAAGGGAGGTGAAGAGGGAAGTGGCCAAGGCCAAACAAAAGGTATACGAGAAGTTGTATGAGAGTTTGAAAACAAAGGAAGGAGAAAATGAGTTGTATACAGTAGATTGGTGAGACAGAGAAATCAAGCTGGGAAGGATGTGCAGCAGGTAAGGTTGATTAAGAACAGAGAGGGGGATGTGATCACAAGCGAGGAAAGTGTGCTGAAAAGATGGAAGGAATACTTTGAGGAGTTGTTAAATGAGGAAAATGAAAGGGAAAGTAGAAATGAGGAGCCAGAGACTATTAGGAAGAAGTTAGATCAGGTTAGAAAGGATGAAGTTAGAAAAGCCCTGAAGAGGATGAAGAGTGGAAAGTCAGTTGGTCCTGATGACATACCAGTGGAAGTATGGAAGTGTTTAGGAGAAGTGGCAGTAAATTTCCTGACTGGTTTGTTTAACAGAATTTTAGAGACTGGCAAGATGCCTGATGAGTGGAGAAAAAGTGTTCTGGTGCCAATTCATAAGAAGGGTGATGCACAGAGTTGTAACAACTACAGAGGGATAAAGTTGATGAGTCATACAATGAAGATTTGGGAAAGAGTAGT